TGTCCAATTAATTTCTTTCTATTTTTGGTAGACGGGGTCTCGCTCTTGCTCAGGCTGGTCTCGAACTCCTGAGCTCAAACGATCCGCCTCCCAGAGTGCTAGGATTACAGGCGTGAGCCACCGCACCCGGCCAAAATAGACAATTTTTTAGAGCAGTTTTAGGTTCATAGCAAAATTGCACAGAAAGTACAGAGTTCCCATATACCCCCACCTGGACGTGAAACACCTCCCCTCAACCTCTGCCCCATCAACACCCTGCACCAGAGTGGCATATTTGTTACAATCTGTGGACATACATTAGCACATCATTATCATCCAGAGTCCATAGTTGGCATTAGGGTTCAGTCTTGGTGTTGTACATTCTGTGGGTATTGACAAGTGTGTGATGGCATGTGACCACCATTACAATATACAGAATACTTTCACTGCCCTAAAAATCCTCTGTGCTCTGCCTAGTCATTCCTCCCTCCCTCCCTCCTAACCCCTGGCAACCACTGATCTTTTTATTGTCTCTATGGTTTTGAATTTTCCAGAATGCTATACAGTTGGAATAATACAATATGTCGGCTTCTCAGATTGGCTTCTTTCACTTAGTAATATGTATTTAAGGTTCCTCTATGTTTTTTCATGGCTTGATAGCTTGTTTCGTTTTAGTGCTGAATAATAATCCATTGTCTGGGTGTACTACGAATCATTTATCTTTTCACCTGTTGAAGGACATCTTAATTGCTTCCAAGTTTTGGCAATTATGAATAAAGCTGCTATAAACATCCATGTGCAGGTTTTTGTGAGGAAATAAGTTTTTAACTCTTTTGAGTAGATACCAAAGAGTGGGATTGCAGGATCACGTGGTATCTTTAGTTTTATAAGAAACTGCCAAACTTTCTTCCAAAGTGGCTGTACCATTTTGTATTCCCACCAGCAATGAATGGGAGTTCCTGTTGTTCCACATCCTTACCAGCCTTTGGTGTTGCCAGTGTATTGGATTTTTGCCATTCTAGTAGGTGTGTAATGGTATCACATTGTTTTAATTTGCAATTCCTTAATGATATATGAAGTCGAGAATCTTTTCATAGGCTTATTTGCTATCTGTAGCTCTTCTTTGGTGAGATTTCTGTTCAGATCATTTGCCCATTTTTTAATCAGGTTGTTCATTTTCTCATTGTTTTGAGTTTTAAAAGTTCTTTGTGTATTTTGGATAATAGTCCTTTGTCAGATACATCTTTTGCAAATATTTTCTCACAGTCTGTGGCTTGTCTTCCTTATTCTTTTGAGAACTTAAAAAAAAAAAATTTGATCTCTAGATTCAGTTACCCTTAGGATACTGGGTATTGCTAGGGCTTTTGGTTTTGGCTTCAGGTTTTAGGAGTCCCCAAATGAAGCATCCAGTGGGCTGTCACCTGTCTAGCTAATACTTAAAAAGATGGGAAGTGCTATATTACACATCATTTATCTAATGCTTTCATCTACTTGTACTCCAGGAAAAAGGTCAGACTGCCTACTTCTTTTCAACTCAACTCTCTAGCTTCAGATTGCCTTTTGGTGACTTATTTTAGCCTTAAAACTGTTCTTGGTGTTCGCAGTGAGTTGTTTCCATCTGCTTCTTTATATTACCATGGTGGGAGTGGGACATGGTGTTATCTGCCCCTGTGGAACTCTATCTAAGGTTGTAGTTTTTCCAGGTACTTAAAATGAACTAAGCCCCCACAATTCTTGAAGAATGGTAACTACCTCTTAACATTTTCCACCAATCCCAGGTTTGGAGCCTACTGGTTTTGCCTGTTGACATCTTTTATGGTTGAGTGAAAACAGTATCTTAAAAGATATATTCATAAAACCTCCAGACAATTATTTGAATTTGAATAAAGTCACATTTTTGTTTTTCTTGCAATCCACTGAGCTCACTCTGCTCAGCTGTGCATGAGCTGTGGGAAGAAGTAACATTTCAGTCTAGATGTGACTTTTGCTGTCTGCTGTATCTCTGTTCCCATTTCCTGCTGGGGTACTAGAAAGAAAGGTGGGGTTTTGTGAAAGATTTTCCAACTAGTAAAGAGAGGGCAGCTAACTCAGGTGGTCTAATGAAGAGAAATACACCCCTACTTCAGTCTCTGGGAATTTCACCTGGACAGAATTCGGGAGGCAAAGAGAACCCTGCCCAGTTTTCACCTTTGCTACTACAGTCATGAACAGAGAGTGCTGTGAGAGAGGTTGGGGAAGGGAGTGGGAATTGTCTAAGGCCCAAGTCGTCTTCTCACTGCTCCCTGGGTTCTTTTGGCCCTACGTCTGAATATTGGGAGCATCAAAAACAAAACATAAACAGTTCACTGGCTAAGAAGCTAACTGCAGCTGCTAAAACAGAACAGATAGTGTGGTCTTGAGTTAGCAACTCCTATCTTTGTCCCTGTTGTCCCTAATTACATGTATTTCTTCACTTAATCTTTCTAACAAACCTGTGATATAGATACAAAATATACATTTTACAAGTAAAGAAACTTGTAATTTGGCTTACAAAGTTCAAGTGACTTGCCCAAGATTGCACAGGTTTGAATTACAAGAACCACAGTACAACTTGGAACCGTATCAGGTGATTCACAGAATTGAAGGGAAAGTTGAAAAATGGTCAGGAAGGAATGGGACCCTAGGCAGCGGGGAACTGAGGCAAAGCCATATCACTGAATAGTCTGATTTGAGCACCACACTTGGCACTTCTTTTTTATTTTCAAGACCGAGTCTCACTCTGTCGCACTGCGTAGAGTGCAGCGGCGTCTTCATATCTCACTGCAACCTCAAACTCAAGTGATCCTCCTGCCTCAGCCTCCTGAGTAGCTGGGACTACAAGCATGTGCCACAATGCCTGGCTAATTTATTCTATTTTTAGTAGAATGGGGTCTCACTCTTGCTCAGGGAAGCTGTGCCTTCTCCATAAGACTTGAACTCCTGAGCTCAAGCAATCCGCCTGCCTCAGCCTCCCAGAGTGCTAGGATTACAGGTGTGAGCCATTGCACCCACACCTGGCACTTCCACCACTGTGTGCTAAGCAGGCAGTGCTGTGGGACTCTTAATGCCATCATGGAGAATTTATCAGCCGTTGCTTTGTTTTTGTGTCTTTCTTTTAAAATTCAAGTGAGAACATCTAGTTAGCAGGCCTCATTCATGTGCTAGTGTTCTAGGGGCCAGGAGGTGGGTATGAGTATCTGGCCTGTTTGGCAGCTTTAGTGTAGAGAATTGGGCCCTGGTTCCCACCAAGACTGACAAAATCAGATTCTTCCCAAATAAGAAGAGTATTTGGAAGCTTGGCAGCAATACTGTGAAGGGTCAATGTCTACCATACAAGCCATGGTACGCAGATGTCCGTAAGACATTCTGCTGAAGATTGGTTGAACTGGGAAAGCTGTGCCTGACTATTTTTTCCTGAGACCAGGGTCTGCCTAACAGTTCAATAGGACCTTCAGGCAGTACACAAAGTATAGCAGTTTTCACATGAGACTGTCTGGCTGTTTCTGATTCACTAAAACTAACTACCACAGAGGTAAATGGCCAGCAGAACCAGCCAGCTGTTAGGGTCAATCTGAGGAAAGAGTGGATAGAAAATTGACCAACAGGGAAAATCCCTTCCTGACTTCTGGGTTTAATATATCCTCAGTGTAGTATCTTAAGACACTGAATTTATATGTTTCTGGGCAATATTTCACTGTAGCTTTACCCTATTAACCATATTAAACATCTTGTGAGAAGGAAGAAGAATTATTTTACTTGCATGTCTTTGTCCTTCCTGTAGACTCTTTGCCTTAAGACTAGGAACCAGATAGTTTCTTTTAAATCTCAAGTATATTGTTCCCAGCATATAGTAGGCACTTTTAAAAATATTTAAATGGCTGGCTGAGTGAATTTTCCTTAGCCATCTTTTTCTGAAGCTGAATGGATTTTTGTGAAATGGTGGTGAAATTTTTGTGAAATAACTCATGTATGTTTGAAATATTTTATGCTTTTTTTTAGATTGTCTGGGAAGAAGGACCACAATGACATTCTCTCTGCTTTTGTTGTTACAGGTGTTCCAGGATTTGGGGATGGAAGTACTATCTGGAGCTGCAAAAGGCTATAACATATGCCTTTTTGCCTATGGGCAGACAGGCTCTGGGAAGACATATACCATGCTGGGGACCCCAGTGAGTATTATTTAGCATCGTAATGAGTTATCTCCCTAATGCCACAGCAAGCCTGAATCTTACATTGTTCTGGCGTGAGATGGAATGTGATTGATTTCTGTAGTTAGTCAACTTTAACAAGATTTAGTGAGCCCTTTTTTGTATTAAGAATAGGTTTTTCAGCATTTAATTGAAGAATAAGCTTTGAATAATTAGCCCCTCTTTATTAAAACCTGGAAAGCCTTAGAATTTTGTAGCCCCCTTTGATGAAGTAGACCTCAGTCAGTTTTACTGAATTTCTCTCATTATTTCTAAGTTCATCACTTGAAGCTTTTTAACACCTTTGTTCTGGACAAGACCTAGACTGAATCTTAAGTGCTAAGTGGGGCTGTGCAGCGATGGGATTAGTGTGGCCCAGCTCCAAGCCTATGTGTGTTAGATCCATGCACTAGAAGGAAGGGGGGAATCAGCTTCTGGGCTGGGGGATTTCAAAAGTATATAGGATTTAGTGAGAATCTTCCTTTATTATAGAAAATTAAGAGGGCAGAATTCCTCAAGAACACCTCTGTTTTAGGTTTAGAAGTATCCTGTTGAGGTGGTTGACAAATTAACACTATACAAGGACATTCTCTAGGACACTATTCCTCCTAAATGATCATCCCTGCTGCCTTGGGTCCAGCTCATTTCTTACTTTGTCCATGTTTAGTGTGGTTTCACAGTATTTGTAATTAAAAGAAGGAATTGCCCACTAAACCAAAAATATAAAGCTCTTAAACTGAGTACACATTAGCACTGAATACAAGATGGAGAAAGACGTCACCTCTCTTTAAATGTGTATTTTGAATACCCATATATTCTAGTCTAACTGTGTAGGGCTAGGAGGTGTTGGAGTCTAGGAGGAACCACATTGGTAAAGTCAGTTTATCTAAGAATGACATAACCTTCATTGCATAAAAGCAGGTATCTGGGTTTGCTAGCTTCTCTTCTTTTCCATCCCGTGGTGATAATATGCCTCTCATCTGGTACATTCCTCCCATGAGTGTGTCTTGAGAGCACTGGTATATGAGTCTTATATATGCCTCCATGGAAACTGCCTAAAGTGAAGAGGCTACAAGGAGCCCACGTGCCCATCCCCCATGCCAAGGATGATTCCTGGGTGTTGGGTAGAGGAGAGCATGGCCTTGAGTAAACAATAATGCTTTCCTTTCTTTCGTTCTCCAGGCTTCTGTTGGGCTGACACCCCGAATATGTGAGGTATAGACTCTCTTTTGACTGGATCCTTTCAAAGTAGGTTTCCTTTGTACACTCCCTACAATGAAACCCCAACCCTCTGATTTGTGCAGGGTCTCTTTGTCAGGGAGGAAGACTATGCCTCACTGCCTTCCTCCTGTAGGATAAAAGTAAGGTAAGAATATATCAAGTTTTGGGACGTACGGTGTTTCTCCTTTCACTCCAAATTCTAGCACGTTCAGCTGTGCTCTTTTTGCTTCCAGAGTTACCAGAGAGATAGAGAAAAGCCACAGAAGAACTACCTTGCAGTACAGGGAGATGAGAAACATACTTAGATCCTTGATTGTAGAAAACTTAATTCCCTACCCTTAGACTTAACAAGCAGTTCTCTCCTTCTGTGGCGTAGCATAGCCTGGCTGTCTAGTTTCCCTTTACTTTCTGTACAGATTCATGCTGGCTTTTGTGATTCTCTTCTAGCCCCCTACTGGATTATTCTCCAGGGCAGTTGTTCTCAAACTCTAGTTCCCAGGCTAGTGCTGGCTATTCCAAGATAAAGTTTTAACCAATCTATAGTGAAATATTGGTGTAAGGTTACCAATTTCCCTTTATTCTCTGGGTGTTTTTTTTTTTGTATTCAATATCCTTTTTAAAAAAAAATTGACCTGTAATTCACCTAACATAAAAGGAACTTACCATAAAATTTTAAAGTGTACAGTTCAGGGATTTTTACAATACTTATAAGGTTGTACAACCATGGCCACTATCTATTAATAGTTTTAGAACATTTTCATCACCCCGAAAAGAACAACTGTTTTTTAAAAAAATTAAATGGTTGTGAATGTTATTTTTACATTTTTAAGTTTGCAAAATAATTTGCAACCTTCTGTGTAGATATACACATTTATATGTATACATATATGGATATATATTAAATGTTTTATTGTCCATAAAATCTGGGAATCACCATTTAGAGAGACAGCTGGGGTTTTTATGTCCAGATATGAGAAGGTTAGGGAAAAAATTATGAGACAAGTGTGAATATAGTTTATTTTTGAACTGGAACATTTTTTTCTGACTGCTGTCTCCATAGGCATCCATGTTCTTCTGGTGAGGAAGACCTTTCTTTTCTTTTTTTTTTTCCCTTAACCATCTGGAGGCATCAGGTGGTGTGGTGAGGAAGACCTTTCTATGAGAAGTTGACCTTCTTGTTTAACAAAATCTTTACAGGTTTTAATAAAGAATTATAACTATTTTTTAAAGGAATATGTCAGTAGATACCTATGAGACAGCATATTATATACAGAATCCTAGTATATAAAACATATAAAATGATAATTATCCTACTTAAAGCAGGGGTAGGGACTAGAACCCTTCTTACTTAGCTTCCCTTGTTGTATCTGCACTTGAAGTACCTGCGCAGAACAAAAGATCTCAAGGATCTTGTTTGGGCCGGGCGCGGTGGCTCACGCCTGTAATCCTAGCACTCTGGGAGGCCGAGGCAGGCGGATTGTTTGAGCTCAGGAGTTCGAAACCAGCCTGAGTCTCTACTAAAAATAGAAAGAAATTAATCGGACAACTAAAAATATGTAGAAAAAATTAGCCGGGCATGGTGGCGCATGCCTGTAGTCCCAGCTACTCGGGAGGCTGAGACAGACGGATTGCTTGAGCCCAGGAGTTTGAGGTTGCTGTGAGCTAGGACACCACGGCACTCTAGCCTGGGCAACACAGTGAGAGACTGTCTCAAAAAAAAAAAAAAAAAAAAAAAGGATCTTGTTTGCAGATCACTCAAGAAACAAGCTCTGTAGACCCTGTGCTGCTGGAGGCCTGATCAAGGCACAGTCTGATGACGGGATACCCTAAAAACCACACTGAAATAGCCCCTTGAGGGCTAAACTTAAATCAGCACTGACATTATAAAACTAAAACTGTGAAATAACGACAGCCAGTGCTCAAAACTCTATTGTATACATATGGAAAGAGACTCAAGGGAGAACTCTGGCTGAATCAAAGCCTTAGAGTGTCAGAGGTAGAGCTGCAACAGGAACTCTAGGACCTTCTGATTCTTGGCTTAGTGTTTTTCCTACTTTTTTCGAAATCCAATTGTTACCTTTTTCTGCTTGTCTCTAGTTTCCTGGAAATCTATAATGAACGGGTGCGGGATCTGTTGAAGAAATCTGGTCAAAAACAGTCCTGTACCCTGCGGGTCAGGGAGCATCCAGAGATGGGGCCCTATGTGCAAGGTGAGCTACCGTGGTCCTGGAGATCTGAGACAAAACTGAAGCCTGGGAAGCTCTCCTAATGTGCACTATTTTATTCAACATATGTGTAATGAATGCTTACCATGTGCCAGCTACTGTACTAGACACTGGATACGCACTGATCAGTAGAAAAGATGTGGTCCTGCCCACACAGGCAAGCTTATAATCTAGTGGATGTGAGTCTGAAAACAAACACTTAATGACAAGTTATGATAAAGGCTAATAAAAAAATAACTAGATGTAGTGATGGAAAAGAACATTGGTAGGTATAGGTGACCCTGTATAGGGTGGTCAGGAGAAGCTTCTCTGTGCAGGTAACATTTAAGCTGAGACCCAAAAGGAGTACAGGAGCCAGTCCTGTGAAGAATAGTGTAGCTAGGGAGGAGTGTTTCAGGAAGCGGGAGTAGCCTGAACTAGAGACCTGAGGGAAAGCTTACTGTTTTCAAGGAGGCCAATGTGGCTGAAGAAAACTATGGTAAATGAGGGGGGAAAGTGGTATGGAATAAGCCTCAGCTTCTCTAGTCACTGGGATTAGAGTTATGAGCCACTGTGCCTGGCACAGTTTTATAGAGGAAACTTAAACTGGCTCCTGGAAAAGTAAGTGGTATTTTTTTTATTGTTTCCAGGCTGGAATATTTGGGAAAAGATACTGGTAGCATAATCAGTGACTGTCATACCTACTGTGTCATTCATTGGCCATCCCCTGATGACAGACAAGACCAGTCCTTGATCTTTCATGTCCCTCTCCTTTCAGGATTTAAATTAGCATAATGCTGTAGGAACAGGAACATAAAATGTACATGTTACTACTTTTTTTTTTTTTTTTTTTTTTTTTAAAGGGCAAAGTCTCACTATGTTCAAGGCTGGCTTGGCCTTGACCTCCTGGGCCCAGGTGATCCTCCTGCCTCAGCCTCCTAAGTAGCTGGAACTATAGGCATGCACCACCACACCTGGCTCTATGTTACTTCTTATAATTGGCCTGAAAGGGTAAAAACCGTCATCCACAAAAGAACCCAACTGTTCCTACTTAATAGCAAGATCTAGGCTAATGAAAGAAGGCAGATGGTGGGCAGCTGAAGCGGGAGGATTGATCCTGAGGCCCGGAGTTTGAGACCAGCCTGGGCAATGTAGCAAGACCCCGCCTCTTAAAAAAAAATTAGCCAAGTGTGGTGGCATGCACCTATAGTCCCATTTACTTTGGGAGACTGAGATAGGAGGATCGCTTGGGCCAGGAGTTTGAGGCTACGGTGAGTTATGATGGTGCCACTGCACTCCAGCCTTGGCAACAGAGCAAGACCCCCATCTGAAAAAAAAAAACACACAAAAAACCAAAAAACTTCTGTGAGTAAACATTTCTGTGTAAAACATTACTTTCAAGGCAGACCTTGAGTTGATGCAGCAGTATCAAACTTCTCATCTTAAAACGTTTTCTGTGTGTGTGTGTAGTAACCAGAGGATGCTTCGGACATTGTCCAAATGTCCTCATTATACAAAAGACAAAATGAAATCTGGGAAAAGAGTAAGGGTTGTTCCCAAAGTCACACAGCTAGTTGGGACAGGATTTAGAACTGGGACCTTGCCTAGGACTTGAAGAGAGGAATGGACAGAATACTGTATGTTGAGAGTCTGGAAGGAGACCTAGGATCATAAATTCTTTGATTGGCATAGTACCTGCAACCCAGAGAAGATGTGAACTCATGCAAGGCCATATAGCTTGGGCCATACATCAACATCAGTGACAGGATCAGGACTAAAATCTCTGGGCTTGTGCAAAGTTAAGGGCTCTTTTGGATACCTTTATGGAGTGCCCCTTTGAAGGGAGAGAGGATGTTTGGTAGGAAATACTGAACTATAAACCAAGGAAAAGTCTCTTAGGTCTTAGGTTACAAGTTTCTTGAAGTCAGTCTAGTCTTTCTCAAACCATTACAAACATAGGTGGACATTTCTCCCATTTTTTAGTGAAGGAGCCATGAGCTCAAATAGTATAGAACTAGCCTTAGAAGCTAGGACCCTGAGTATCACACTGAACTGTGTTACTCATGTTACTACCCTCTGATGACATTTTAGAAAACTTTTTATTTTGAAAATGTTTGCTTTCTTTATTGTTGCATTATTTGTCTGTCTTTAGGCTTATGCATTTTGTGAATATGACTTTAAAGTGGAAAATGGTTTCTGGCTTGAAAACAATCACACAAGAATTTATTGAGTACCTACTAGATGCCTATACTATTCAGGGTACCATGGGAACTATGAAAATATAAGGCCCTTAAAGAACTTGTAATTCCAAGGCCAGGCTTGGTGGCTAACACCTGTAATCCTAGCACTCTGGGAGGCCAAGGCAGGAGGATCACTTGAGCTCAGGAGTTCAAGACCAGCCTGAGCAAGAGCGAAACCCCATCTCTACTAATAATGGAAAAATTAGCTGGGTGTGGTGGCACAACCTGTAGTCCCAGTTACTCAGGAGGCTGAGGCAGAAGGATTGCTTGAGCCCAGGACTTTGAGGTTGCTGTGAGCTAGGCTGATGCCATGGCACTCTAGCCTGGGTGACAGAGCAAGACTCTGTGTCAAAAAAAAAAAAAAAAAAGAGCTTATAATTCCAGTTCATAATTGTGAGATGGACCTTTATGGCTGCCTAAATTCAAAGAAAGGAAAGGGTAACCTATTACTTTCCATTAAAATGTTTATTAATTAAATAAGAGATTAAGTTGAAATCTGAAATGTACAGAGCTCTGCCCAAAGCACACATAAGAGGCCTGTGGTTATAGAGTTCAAACTGACATCTAAGTGAGACAGAGACAATATGTCATTTTTGCTTTGGCCTTTATTTTGATATAAAGAGATGGGTACAAAGCAAGAGATGTTAGAGGAAGGTAGTTTAGACTCTGAAAAAAAGTTATTTTGTATTTTCTGTGTACTTAGTCTTCAACTAACAGGAGTTCCCTTCCCTCACCCCTTTAATTCTTATCCCTTTTTTCCTTGCCTTTCTGCAGTGACTAGGACCTCTAGTACAATATTAAATAAAATTGGTAACAGTATCTAATCTTGTTTCCAGAGGAAAGCTTCAACATCTTACCCTTAATTATGATGTTTGCAATAGTGGTTGTTTCAATAGATACTCTATCACATGCTTCTCAGTCTCTCTGTGGTGAAGGACCAGGTTTGTTTGTTTTTAATTCCAATCTTTGATGTACCAGTATGTTTATAAAATAAGAATAGAAGGAGCCACTTTTTCATAGAAAAATGAAAACAATATCTTAATTACAAACTCCAATTCTTCTTTGCTAGAGTCAATAGATATAAAAATTACTTTATCAAAACTATTGTTTTATTGTTATAAAAGTTTCTAACACTTTCAATTTCTATACTTATCTCATTGCACACCAGTAACAATCTGAGAACTGAGCTCACTCTATGGACCAAATTTGAGTAGCACTGCCTTGCAAGTAAGGGAATTCTCTTTTCTTCTAAGATTGGGCTTATTTTTTCCTTAAATATTTGGTAGAACTTAGTGGTAAAGCCTTTCTGGGTCTCAAGGGATTTTTTTTGGTGAGGAAGTTTAAAATTATGGCCTTGATTTCTTTCATGTATTCTATTTTTATTACATCAGTTTTGGAAGGTTATATTTTTCTAAAAATATTCATGTCTCTAAATTCTTAAACTGTATTTGCATGAAGTATAATATTATCATTTTAGTGGATGTAGGATGTTTATTTTTTCATTCCTAACATTGGTTATGATAGCTTATCTCTTTTTTCTTGTTCAGTTTAAGGGCTTACTAATTTTATTTGTCCTTTGTGGATTCTCTCCATTGTAAGCTTATTTCTTATTTATTAATTTCTGTTCATATTTTTATTATATGGTGCTTTCTGTCACTTCCCTGGTGAGTCCTAGCTTTCTCTCCTAGACAATCTGTTCAAAGTTTGAGGATCTGCTTACTATTCTGGTTCCTGTCTGTACAGGAGGCACTAACTACCTCTGGTCTAGTTTGCCATCTTGATCCTATGTATGCTTCAACTTTTTAAAGTTATTCCATGTTTCTTCTCTGTTAGCTTGTTTACACATTGTCTTGTTATTTTGGTGATCACTCTAAAGATTACAGCATGGGTCATTGATTTATCAAAGACTAATATTAAGTTTTACTTCTTCCCAATGCAAGAACCTTGTAAGACTTGAATTCTATTTATCTCTTCTTGACTTTTATGCCATTTTTATGGCTCTAAAGTTTTAAAAAATTTCCTACCTCATTTCTGGAATTTTCTTCTGCCATAAGAATAATCTTTAGTATGTCCTCTAGTGTGGATCTGCTATTGACAAATTCTCTTGGCTTTCAGTTGATTTGAAAAATCTTTGTTTCTTCTTTCTTCTTGAAGGATAAGTTCACCGAATTTAGGATTTTAAGTTGATAGTTATTTTCTTTCAGCAGTAAAAATTATTCCATTGTCATCTTCCCATTGTTTCTGTTGAGAAGTCATCTTTTAATCTAATTATTTTAAGACTTTTCTTTTTGTCTTTGGTTTTTGGCAGTTTATTAGGAAGTACTTAGGGGTAGATTTAGGTTTTTTGAAAATCATGATGGGCTGGGCACGGTGGCTCACGCCTGTAATCCTAGCACTCTGGGAGGCCGAGGCAGGAGGATCGCTCAAGGTCAGGAGTTCGAGATCAGCCTGAGCAAGAGTGAGACCCTGTCTCTACTAAAAAATAGAAAGAAATTAATCGGCCAACTAAAAATATATAGAAAAAAATTAGCCGGGCATGGTGGCGCATGCCTGTAGTCCCAGCTACTCGGGAGGCTGAAGCAGAAGGATCGCTTGAGCCCAGGAGTTTGAGGTTGCTGTGAGCTAGGCTGACGCCACGGCACTCAATCTAGCCTGGGAAAAGAGTGAGACTCTGTCTCAAAAAAAAAAAAAATCATGATGGAGGGAAGGGATAAAAACCTATCTAACAGGTACAATAGACACTGTTTGGGTGATGAGAAAAAAAATCATGCTCGGCTTCTTGAATCTGTGGTTTTGTATCTTTTGTTGTCAGTTTTGGAAAGTTTTTAGCCATTATCTTTTCCAGTACTGCTTTTACCCCCATTCTCTCCTCTCCTTTTGGGACTCCAGTTACAGATATGTTAGATCTATTCTCCATGTACTCTGACTCTTACCCTCTCTTATGTATTTTTTATCTTTTATCTCTCTGTGATAAATTTTGAATATGTTTCTGATCTATCTTCCTGTTCTCTAATTCTTTCTTCAGCTGTTAAACCTGCTATTAACTTATATATTGAATTCTTATTTTCACTTATAGTATTTTCATTTCTTAAAGTTCCATTTGATTCTTTCATTTTAAATTCCAATTTTTCTCTGAAATTGTACAATCTTGTCTTTTGGCTCCTGGAAATAGTAAACAGATTTACTTTTAAGTCTGTCTGATAGCTCCAGTATCTAAGTCTTGCACTGCTTTCTATTGACTATTATTTTTGCTGGTTTCATTTATGTTGTTAGCTCTACTTGTGTGTTTAGTTTGTTGCAATTTTGTGCCAGACGATATTTACAGAATTGTTTATAAAAAGAATTTGGAGGCCTAGGAAAATATTGTCTTCCTCTGTAGAAAACTGAATATTTATTTATATTAGGTTCCTGTGCAAACTAGTGATCCGGAATCACCTCAGTCCAATTTAAGGATTGGGAATGCTCAAAGCTGAGCTGCAATTTCTTCAAAGGCTTGTTTACTTCTAATTTAACCTATTCCTGTGTTTTATAGCCTTTTGAGTTTCCAGCTCAAAGAAATGGGGTTTCAAAGGGTCCACCCTGGGTAGGCTCTGGACTGCAATTCTTGTCTCCCTGTTTCTGTGATGTTGTCAAGAAAACTGTCAGCCACTCCCGCTCCATCTCCAAATGCTGGCCGTATCTCTCTTAGCCTCCATCCATCCTCCCCCACTATATGCCTGAATTTTTTTACTGTCTTGCTATCTCTCTGTGCCTTCAGGCAGATATCTTTTATATTTTGTCCAGTTTTTTCTAGTAGTCTTTAGTGGAAAGGGTGGTCTATATTATCTGCTCTGCCATTACCAAAAGCATAAGGTCTCCATCCTTGGTTAAATTTTTAAAAACTCTTCATTATGGAGAATTTTGAACATATACAAAAATAGAGTAGTATAATGAAGCCCCATGTGCTATTACCCAGTCACAATAACTATTAAGTCTAGGCCAGTCCTGCTTTATCTACATTTTTTTGTTTGTTTTTGTTTTACAAAAACATTCAGTTGGTACCAAAGCTTTATCTTGATTCTTATCCACTTTCTCTCATTCTGTATTGAGGCAAATTCCAGATGTTACCTCAATTCATCTGTAAATATTTAGTAATATTTAGTAGTCCTAAAAGATAAGCAATGTTGTGTTATTTTTGTTTTTGTTTTTTGAGACGGAGTCTTACTCTGTCACCCACTGCAACCTCAAACTCCTGGGCTCAAGTGATCCTCCTGCCTCAGCCTCCCAAGTAGCTGGGACTACAGGTGCGTGCCATCATGCTGGACTAATTTTTCTATTTTTTGTACAGTAAGGGGCTTGCTGTGTTGCCCAGGCTGATCTAGAACTCCCGGCCTCAAGCGATCCTCCCACCTCGGTCTCTCAAAATGCAGGGATTACAGGTGTGAGCCACCACACCTAGCTAGGAATGTTTTTAAAAAATAATGATCACATCTAACTAATAGCAATCATTCCTTTAAAAAACCCAGTGTTCGAATTACTTTGTTAATTTTTGGTGTAATTGTATTTAGCAATAAGCCCATGAAGTACTTTGTTCCTGAATCTCTAATACAGAGATTCTGTAGAGCAGTTGTGAAGGCCCTTTGTGACTTGGTCAATAACCAGCCATGAAGATTTATTTTCATGCTCTTAGGCTTCTCCTCGCCTATTTAAAGCCTCGCCATTCTGTAGTGGCTAAATTCAAGTCTCACTTCTTCCATGGAGCCTGCCCTGACCACTCCTCAGATCTCTGTGGCATTTATTATCTCTCCTACTTCTGTGACACTTGGCCATATTATCTTGTATAGTATAATTTCACATGACTGCAAATAGTGGGAGGGTTGGGACACGTGTACTGCATATTTTGTATGCCAAACTGATTCTGCCACCTTGTGGGGAAAATAGTACCTGCGTAACTCAGGAATTTTGTGAGGGCCAAATGAAGTTATTATATGAAAACATTTCTTATAACCTATGTAGCAAAATTGTAAAGAGTTATAGTTACTGTTGTTCTCATAGTCAGTATATGAATTCTAGACCATAAGGTCTGTGTGGGCAGAGACATAGGTTCCTAGAGCCGATCACAGTACCTACGGTAGACTATCAATAAAAATTTCCTGATTTAATTTATTATCTGAATGAATTCAGCCAAATTCCCTCATTCTTGCCTATCAGATAATATGAAACAGGAATGATGAAGTTAAAGACCGATAGGAAAAGGCTAAACTTTGTCATAAACTCTAATTTTTTTTTCCTCCTCCCAAATCTGATAGGTTTATCTCAACATGTAGTTACCAACTATAAAGAAGTAATCCAACTCTTGGAGGAGGGAATTGCAAACAGGTAACAGGTTTGTTTGTTCCTATCATTATTTTATGCTCCTTATTCTTCCCCTTCGGGGAGTGTTTGATGACACTTATAGCTCTGTCTGCAGAGACATTCACAACCAGGAGGCCCTTCGCAGAACAGTAATGTACCCAGGATCAGGGGCAGTGACAAGATTTAGTGCTCTTCTCATTAGTAATGATGCTTCAGTTTGCTCTAGATATAATAATATTAGGCAGTAACCCTAGAGAAGTTATTCTGTACTTTGTTTTATAATATACAGCTTCTGGTATTTTGATCAAAAAGAAGATTCTTGCCTTCATTGTCCTCTCCTTAGGCTTAATAGATATAAGGACGAATAACAGTGTAAAATGTTTCATAAAATCATTTTTACTCTAGTTTTGCATACTTATAAGGTAACCCCCAAAAGACTGTTTTGAATCTGCTGTGAATAACCAAGTGCTGGAGACTCTCCTAAAAGCTCTTGCAAATTGTGATGACAGTCCATGCTGTTAGTTACTATGAAATACCTAGAATGCTACTAATAAATGTCTTTTTTTAAAAAGGGCTTTTTTTAATAGGGAAAAGAGTGTTTAGAGCCCTATATTTACCCTGTTAATAGCAGGCCCAACTTAATTGACCATAAAGGAAAAAACTTAAATTTAACATTCTCCTCCTAGTTGCATTTCATGGAGTTCTCCTTGGAGGCACTTACTGGTGGTCTTCAGGATATCCTGAACTCCTTGATTTTTAAGTGTCGGGCTTCACCTTTTACTCTTTATTCTTGAATCACTAGACCAGCTCTAGATTTTTGACCCTTTTCCTCAATTCTCCAGCTCCTCTGAGAACAGAAGTCAGTCAGTGGTCTTAAGCTCAAGCACAACTGACTTAGATTTAGATAAAAGGAAGACTCTCCTGACTTTAAGGGTTAACACTGGAATGGATTTCTAAAGGAGATTATGAATTCCATCTGGTTTAAGCATGACATCGACATAATTTGAGATCTCATTTCTAAGACCTTTCCGACACTATAATATTCTGTGTTTAATCAAAACTTACCTTCTTTGTCTTTGAGACTGCTTCTCTACAAGCTCTTTGTCTTCTCTTATTTAAATGGGTCCGTCTTGGGGTTATTCTTCCAGGTTGGTGATACTCTAGTATTCCCTCTTTCACTCTGATTTTTGCTTCTATGGCTTTAAAAAATGTTCCACTGTGGTTTAGTAAGAAGCTACTCTCCCTTTTATACTCAGATATCAGCACCTAAAGTGCTGCTTCTGCCCTCTTTGGACTACTCTCCTAACTATACTGGACTAAATCTCGATGTTTTATGATTCTAATCTGTAACCTCAGCACTAATATTTCTTGTGTTCTCCATGGATCCTTAAGGATCCACCATGCATAAACAATCCTGGTCCTAACTGTTTTCCCTTCTATACATAGAATCACAGCAGCCACCCATGTTCATGAGGCCAGCAGCAGATCTCATGCCATCTTCACTATCCACTACACGCAGGTTGGTTATCCCTATGTTTGGTGAGATTTATTCCTTGTCCTTTTTGACTGTTTTCTTGTCTTCCTTCCTATTTATTTTCCTTTCCTCCTACCCTCATATTTACAGGTCCTCTGAAATAACCTAATAATATGTAAAGAGGATCTACATACAATCTGTTAAGCTAGTGAGGGTATAGGAATTTCATAAAGAGTAATCAAAATATAATCTTCTTGTATTTTATACCTAACATTTTAAAACATTTTTACATCTGTGTGATCGTGGGCATTTAAAACAAAATCAAACTTGAAAATAAGCATTAAAAGGAAGAAATTAGAAGATTCACTTCCATTATGTAGAGTGAGGAAGTTAACAAATTATATCCCCCCAAAGCAACTATAAAGCTGGACAAAACCATTTCTGTGATCTGAAAATAGACTAAAGGCATATAACAAACTGAGAAGCATTTATTCAAGAAAACTACTGAATTTCAGATAAGAACAATGCAGATGTTTGGTGTTCTACCTTGAGCCGCTCCCATCCCACCCACACTCTGATCTCTGTCAATAGGATGGTTCAATCAGGGAAAAGAAGGCTGTGAAAACCAGCGGCTTTTCTGCCGCCACTGCCATAGTGGTTCACTTGATTTGGAGCATTGTCAGTTAAAGTGATAATCTCTACAGCAAGCAAATAAAGAGGGCCAGTGTCTACACTGGCCTCAGCTTGTGGGTCTGTTTCAGGCAAGACATGAACTGGCGGACTGTCGGGAGATTTAACAGGGAATTCTGGGAGGCAATATAGCCATATGGGACTTGATAAGATCCTCATGTGTCGTAGGTTGACCAGAAGCTGTGTACACACACGGCACAGACTTAAGCGAGCCCCAGCCACCCATATAACGCTGACTGACAGAACCTGCACATGTGTGCAGAGGAGGCACGAGAGGTCCCTGTGGCTAGTGAATGCTGGGGTAATCTTAAAAATGGCCTGAATTTTTAATATATTCCACTGCCCGCACGTGGATATAACAACCACCACCACTGCCACCCTCAAGAGAAAATAGGAATCCAGAGCTACGACAAAATGTTGTCTAAAATGTCTAGTATTCAACCAAAAATTACTGGACATATAAAAACAAAGTATGATACAAGTGTGGCGGGGCCGGGGTGCAAAAATCAGTCAATAGAAACTGACTCTAAGTGCCTCAGATGTTGGATTTAGCATACAAAGACTTGAAAGCAGCTAACGTATTCAAAGAACAGAAGGAAACTATACTTGATTAAGGGAAAGCCTGATGACAACAACTCAATAGGAAATCTCAATAAAATGATAGAAATTTTTTAAAATGTTAATATATTTTAGAAATTAATTTCTAAAATGGGAATTGTGGACTCAAAATATATAATTGCAATAAAAATTCACTAATGGAACTAATAGCAGATTTGAGATGGCAGAAGAATTAGTGGACTTGAAGTTAGACTAATAGAAATCATTGAGTTTGCAGAAGATAGAGTAAAAAGATTGAAGAAAAATGAGCAGAGCCACACAAACCTCTGGGACAGCATTTAGTATAGCAACATATATATAATGGGAATCCCAGAAAAAGAGAAGACAAAGAATAGGGCATAAAAATTTTTTTGAAAATAATGGCCAAAAACTTCCCCAATTATTGAAAATCATTAATCTGTAGATTTAAGAAGCTCAAAGGACTCCAGGTAAAATAAACACAAAGAGATCCACACCTGGACACATCATAGTTAAGCCGTAGAAAGACAAAGAAAATCTTGAAAATAACTAAAGAAAAATGACTCATACAGGAGAAAAATTACGTGATTAATGGCTAACTTCTCATCATAAACATTGAACCCCAGAAGGCAGCGTGCTGAAAGAAAACAAAACTGTCAACTAAGAATTGTATATGAAACAAAACTAGTGTTCAAAAATGAAGATGAAATAACATTCCCAGATGGAAAAAAAAAATGGAGAGAATTTACTGCTAGCAGACCTACCTTAAACTAAATGAAATCTTTTAGGCTGGAAGAAAATAATATCAGAAAGTAACTTGAATCTATAGGTAGAAATGAAATTTTCTGGGAATGGTAAATATGTGAGTAAATATAAAAGACTACAGAAATATATTCTTTCTCATTTCTTCTAATGTCTTTAAATAAGATTGTCTAAATCAATTATAACACTAATATACATGGTCATATAGACATTGTCATATATATGAAAATAATAGCACAAGGGTGGCATGAAAGGAGATACATTAGAGCAAAGTTTCTGTATTTTACAGGAATTAAGTTAGTATTATTTTGAAGTAGATCACAAGTCAAGGTGCATATTGTGATCTGTAGAGTAACCACTAAGAGTATAGCTCAAAAACATAATTTTAAAAATCAAAAGAAATTAAAATGGTACACTAAAAATATTTAATGGAGAAAAGGGAGCGAAGAAGGAACAGAGGAACAAAAAAGACATATAGAAAAAAGAAAACAACAGATGTGGTTCTGAGCACATCAATAATTACATTACATTTGATTAGACTCAGGTACAAATTGTTAGGCTGGATAAAAAGACCCAACTATGTGCTGACTGTAAGAAACACACCTTAGATCCAAAGACACAGGTTGAAAGTAAAAGGATGGAAAAAGATATATGATGCAAATAGCAACTGCAGGGAGTTGGAGTGCTATATTAACATTAGGCAAAAAATAGGTTTTAAGACAGATACTTGCTAGAGACAGGGACATCTCATAACGATAAAGGGTCAGTACCTCAAGAAGATATAACAATTATAAATGTATACACTCTGAACAAGTCTCAACATATATGATGGAAAAACTGACAGAATTGAAATGAGAAATAGATAATTCAACAATAGTTAGATATTTCATTACACCACTTTCAATAATATGTAGAACAACCAAACAGAAATCAGTGATGATATAGATTTGAGCAACATTATCAACCAATGTGACCTGATATTTTCAGAATACTCTACTTTCCACTTAACATCTGCAGAATACATGTTATTTTCTGGTACTCATGGAACATTTTCCAGGATAAACCATATACTGCATAAAACTAAAATAATCAAGATAGTGTGGTATCAATGTTAAAGTACATAAATGGAACAGAATAGAGTTCACAATAGACCCATACGTATATAGGCAACTTTATTTATTTTTTTGAGTCAGAGTCTTTTGTCCAGGATAGAGTGCAGTGGCATCATTATAGCTCACCGCAACCTCAAACTCCTGTGCTCATGAAAGGCAGGAATTGATAGTAGGAGAATGTACTTTGTTTTGTGTAGAACAAAAACTGTTTTAGGTTAGAAAAATGTGTTCTCTTTGATTTTAACTAATGCCATTTGCTTCTGTAACCGTGCTTGCTTTTAGTTGTTAGTCAAATATTGTTAATCAAAAAAAACAGGGCAGGAGTGACTCCATGACAGGCTGAACTTCCTAGAGTAGGCCTAAGTCTCAGTCCCCCTCCCCAAACGCAGATCAGAACTGGCGCCTGTGCGAAAATTGAAAATCCTGAGGCTTGGGACCACCCAATCAGGGGTCAAAACAATCCTCCACTTTTGAAGGAACCAATGGAGAAAGGGGATGGTGGGCTCAGCATATCATATGCCACCGGTGTGTCGCGCGCAACCAAAAGGATAAAAGCTTCACTTTTACCCCAGGGCGGGGTCCTGGTTCCTAGGGAGGCCACTGTGTTGGTGCTCTGGGACTTGGACCCTAGCTCGAGCTAGCAAATAAACTCCTTTGCCATTTGCATCCTCGGTGACTCTGCTTCTCTGTTCCTGGGGCCGAGGGGGACCGGTTCTTACACTCAAGTGATCCTCCTGCCTCAGCCTTCCCAGTAGCTGGGACTACAGGCACTCGCCACCACATCCAGCTAATCTTTTCTATTTTTTTTGGTAGACACGGGGTCTTGCTCTTGCTCAGGCTGGTCTTGAACTCCTGAACTCAAGCAGTCTTCCCACCTCATCCTCCCAGAGTGCTACCATTACAGTAGTGAGTCACTGTGCTTGGCTGATACTGATTTTAATAAAGTTGCAAAGGCAATTCAGTGAAGAAAATATAATCTTTTCAACAGATGGTAGTAGAATAATTGGATATCTATATGGGCAAAAAAGAACTTTGATCTTTACCTTTTGCCCTTTATCCAAAAGTTAACTCAAACTGAGTCATAGACCTAAATATAAAACCCAAAACTATTAAACTTATAGAAGATAATATGAGAAAACCTTTGTGACCTTGGATCAGGCAAAGGGTTTTTAGCTATGGCACTAAAAACACAAATGAAAATACAAATTGAAATTTGGAATTGATTAAAAGTTAAATCTTTTGCTCTTTTAATAATAAGACACTGTTAAGAGAAGAAAAGCCACAGATAGGGAGAACTTGTTTGCTTAAATACGCATCTGATAAAGGAATTGTATGCAGAATATATAAAGAACTCTCTAAACTCTTTAATAAGAAAATGACCGTAAACAATGGGCAAAAATTTTGAACTGACACTTCACTAAAGAAAATATACAGATGACAGCTAAGTACTTGAAAAATGCTCAACATTATTAGTCATTAGGGAAATGCAAATTAGAACCAAATGAGATATAACTACCCATCTTTTAACATAGCAAAAGTTTAAATTACACGAAATATTGGCGAGATGTATAGGAGCAGGAATTCTCATACACTGCACTACTGGTGGGAATATAAAATGGTACAATAACTTTGGAAAAGAGTTTAGCAGTTTCTTAAAAAGTTAAACATACACCTGCCATATGATCCAGCCATTCCCCTCATAGATATTTACCCAAGAAAAATCATATGTTCATACAAAGACTTGTGCAAAAATATTCATAACTGCTTTATTTGTAATTTCCCTGAAATGGAAACAACCTAAATGTCCATCAAGAGGTGAGTGGATAACTATGGTCTATCCACACAATGGAATACTAGTCAGCAATAAAAATGAAGGTGTTTTTTTTTTTTTTTTTGAGACAGTCTGGCTCTGTTGCCCAGACTAGAGTGCCGTGGCATCAACCTAGCTCACAGCAGTCTCAGACTCTTGGGCTCAAACAATCTTCCTACCTCAGCCTCCCGAGTAGCTGGGACTACGGGCATGCGCCACCACGCCTGGCTAATTTTTTCTATTTTTAGTTGCCCAGCTCATTTCTTTCTATTTTTAGGAGAGGCCAGGTCTCACTCTTGCTGAGGCTGGTCTCGAACTCCTGACCTCAAGTGATCCTCCTGCCTCGGCCTCCCAGAGTGCTAGGATTACAGGTGTGAGCCACCACACCTGGCCAGAAATAAAATATTGATACATGCCTCAACATGGATGAATCAATTATGCACAGTGAAAGAAGCCAGACATATTCCATTTATGTAGAGATAGAATATTGATGAGTGGTTGCTTCGAGATGGGAATGGGAACAGAGATGAATTGCAAACAGACGAGGGAATTTGGGGATTATTGGAAGTGTTCTAAAACTGGAATTTGGTGATGGATTCATAATAACATTAAAATTTTCTAAAACAAAACAGTAAAAAATCCACATTGAATTGGGGGGGGCACCGAGGAAGAAAAGTAGTTTTGTTTTTTGGGTCTGATGCCCCTGAGTAGAACATACAGGGCAGAGTTCCTGTCCTAGAAAGTTAACATGCTGTGACTGAGGTTAGCCAGAGAGAGAAACCTCATCAGGGCCACACATCTGTTGTGGTTCTCTGTTGATAAGAGAGCCCCTGGGACGAGAGGCGGGATTTGCCTGGTAAATTGTACTGAAATTCCTGGTGTGCCTGAAAATTGTGCCCAGAGAACTTCATGGGGATTTGCCCTTATTACTTTGTGGAAGTCTGCTAGTGTTTTTAATGAAATGATGATCCAGGATCTACTGATTTTATGTATCAGATAAGGAGAGCTTGTGTGGTTCAGAGCACGTTAGAATACACATCTGTTGAGTGAATTGGATAAAAATCCAAAATATCACCTTAGTTAAAAGTGTCTAAAGGGGGGAAAAATCCAAATCATTCCAAATGACAGGCTTTAAATGTGTTTTCTCCCTTAGGCAATCCTGGAGAACAACCTCCCCTCTGAAATTGCTAGCAAGATCAACCTCGTGGACCTAGCAGGCAGGTAATTGGATTTCAAAGCCAAGGGAATTACTCCCTTGACAATGATCTCATTCTCACACATTCTACAGGGAATAAGCTTGTCCAATCTTTTTCATATTTCAATCATCTTGAGAAAATTAGAAAGGAAAACTCTTTGAATGCTAGGAAGTTACAGTTTTTCAGGGGCTGAAAAATTCCTCTACATCAGGTCTTCTCAATCTTGACTGCCCATTAAAGTCACATGGGGAACTTTTTAAAACTCCCAATTCCTGCACCTCAGATCAAATAAATCAGCTTATTAATGAGGTTTGGGAGAATGCAGACATCAGTGTATTTTAAAGCTATCCAGGTGATTCCAATGTATAGGCAAGATTGAAAACCACTGCTCTAAATGAAGGTAACTGAGTTAGCACACCTTTTTTTTCTTTAATTTATTTCAGTCTCAAACTCCTGGGCTCAAGTGATCCTCCCCCTGCAGCCTCCCAAACAGCTAGGACTACAGACATGTGCCACCATGCTTGGCTATTTTTTATTTTCTGTAGAGACAGGGTTTCACTGTGGTGCTCAGGCTGGTCTGGAACTCCTGGCCTCAGTCTCCCAAAGTTCTGGCATTACAGGCGTGAGCCACTGCTCCCAGCCTTAATATTGATTTTATGTAGCTCTGTACATTACTTTAAAAAAATAAAAAATAAAAAGAAGAAAAAAAGTTTTACATGGTGGTGTGCATCTGTAACCTAAGCTATTTGGGAGGCTGAGGTGGAAGGACCATTTGAGGCCGCCTAGGCAACATTACAAGATGCAATCTCTGAAAAAAAAGTTTTAAAAATATTGTGAGGTTGAGGAGAAGATACTTCCTTTTATTAAGTATTAGAAGGAAGCATAAAAAAATAAAAAAAGAAGCATGAATTGTATATAGTTACGTATATATCTAAAAAAAAGAAAGTCTTAGGGATAATGTGATCACAAAAATGTTAAGAAATAAGGCAAATTTTCTTACTTTTAAAACTGCTAAATAATTAATATGGTATAGCATTTCCTAAAAAACTAAGTGCTATCTGAAAGAATAATCAGCCAATTGGAAGTGTGAATTTTTAATATTTCCCATTTACTTAAAGGAATTTGAGAGTATTAGCAGTTGATGTAGATACCACAAAGCCATTAATATGTGAATTGAAAACAATAAAGATAGAGGGGAAGTGAATATACCAAAAAGCTATGCTAGTATCATTACTGTAAATGAGCATTGTTTAGCTTAAAGTGCTTTGACAGCCAAAATGAAAACAGAAATGTAATGAATTATTTGATTTTTATTGCCTGAGAAACTGAAAAAGGCCAGTTCATTACAAGATGGTAACATTTTTTTTCTGGAACTGAATTACAAAAGGAATTTATGATGTGAGTCTTTTACAACATGATGTACAACATAATAGTATCTTTCAACAGCATTATAAAAATAGTGTCTTGTTTGCTTTTGTTTTTGTTTTCATTGACTGTATTTTAGTGAAAGAGCAGATCCCAGTTACTGTAAGGACCGGATTACTGAAGGAGCCAATATCAACAAGTCCCTTGTGACTCTAGGCATTGTCATCTCCACCTTAGGTATTTTGCGGATACACTGGATGATTGGAGTGGGAGGGAGACTTTGGGAAAAAAACTCACATTTTCATTTTGTCAAAAGGGTAGACAGTTTATAAGGTTCTCTTTGGCAAGGTTACCTTCTGGTTTGGGGCCTGAAAATTTAATATTTCTGTGATTTTAGAGCACAATGTGACCATCATCCCAGCACTATCATTTCAAAAAGAGGAGAGACTAAAAAATTGTGTGGCTATACACTCCATGTCTTGAGTCCAAAGTCTAACTCAGGGTTCAAACTTAATATATCCTATCATATGCAGAAAGGGATTAGGAAGTGTGATATTTAAGTCTGTGTTTTCCAATCATTGTTTTAGTGTTTTAATGCATTTCTTCTTAATTCCTTCTTTCGTCCACTTTTATTTTTCGTCTTTAAGCCCAGAACTCCCAAGTATTCAGCAGCAGCCTGAGCCTCAACAGCTCAGCCAGCAATGGTGGTGACAGTGGGATCCCTAGCTCTACTTCTGGGACCAGCAGTGGAGGGGGACCCTCCCGGAGACAGTCTTACATCCCATACCGAGACTCTGTGTTGACCTGGCTGCTGAAGGACAGTCTTGGAGGCAACTCCAAAACCATCATGGTTGCCAGTGAGTGGGATGCTAGAGCTGGTTCTGTGTTTCTCATTTCATCATGGGTCTTACACAGCATGGGTAATAGTGGCAAGCCGAGTGGTTAAGGACTGGGATTGGAAGGGCTTGGCATGTCTTTTAACTTTCTCCTTCTACCTCAGCCGTGTCTCCTGCACACACTAGCTACAGTGAGACAATGAGCACGCTGAGATATGCATCCAATGCCAAAAACATTATCAACAAGCCACAGGTGAATGAGGTGAGACCTTCGTCAGAAGTCTGGTTTATTTTACACAAAGTTCTCGTTTTTCTCTAATTGATTTCTTTCTTTTTGTACTCACCCTGACTTGGCTAACTTATTCTTCAAATAATGAGGTAATAGAAGTTTGTCTTCTAATGTCATCTCCTTCTCTTATGTCTCTACTGCCTTCATTCAGTAACTTTTTATGAATAATTTATTTTAGATATTTCTCTAAGGCCATTTCTCTTAAGATCCCTGGTGTAACATTGCCACTCTAAGAAAGGTCATTTAAATTGTGTTTACTGCTTTTATTTTGAATTGATGTTGATTTATGCCTGTGTTTTTTTCTGTGCAAATTGCCTGTATTTTTTTCTATCCAAATTTCAGTTGACTATTCTGTTTAGATTAAGTAGAGAGTATAGGAATTCATTGGTTTTTGAAAGCTGAATAATAATGAGAATTTTCCAAATGTTCCTTATCTCCTTCGCAATTTGAACGAAAAGCTCCAAAGCAGGCATCATAGCTGGTGGCCAGATACATGTGTATAGCCCATACATAGACTGTTTTACAAGGCAGTGTGACTAGGCGGGTATTAAGTTTAGTCACATTTCTCTGGGTATGAAAAAAAACAATGTTTAGTCACAATACAGTAAGATTACCTGTACCTGTACATTGTGTTACCAGCTTGACCTTCTCCTCTAGGGCCATGATTCTCAAACTTCAGTGTGTATCAGAATCACCTAGAGGGTTTGTTAAAACACATCTGGGCCCTAGCCCCCAAGAGTTTCTGATTTAGTAGGTCTGGGGTGGGGCCAAAATTTGCATTTCTAACAAGTTCTTAGGTGAAGTTGATGCTGTAGATCTGGGGACCACATATGGGGAATGACTGACTGGTTTAGAAGTTACTCCAAAGGAGTAATCCCCTTCTTCCAAGTTAATTTCATGTAGCATTTCATAGCTGGGTGAGACCTGATACCAGTCAGTGGTGACTGAGTTCTCTGTGTTTCAGGATGCTAACGTAAAGCTGATCAGAGAGCTCAGAGAAGAGATTGAAAGACTGAAAACCATGCTGCTGAGCTTTGAACTGGTATGCAGGCAATCAGAACTCTGCCATACTTAGGTGAAGTTCTCCTCCTGAGCCCTTTTTCTTCTGTATAGAATCAGGGCCCTGCTGCATTCCATGTTGTTTGATTAACACTCATGGAGCAGAGGCAGGAGCAAAGCCAGCAGGGGGGAGTTCTCTGATTTCTCTGTGTAGCTTCAGATGGGGTGGGCTGTTTCTCACTATATCATGTTTTGTCCAAAGGGCATTTGCCTGAATGGCCCTTGCTCTGTTTGGGCAGACATGGGGAATGGGGCTGTCCAGAAAAATTTCTTTGAATTCTCCTTCTTTGTGCCAGTATGAGCCCAAATGCTTAGGCTCTTGATTTATTTCTGATTTTAATGTTAAAATCTTTCCTTTATCTGTACCATATATTCCTTCACAAGTGTAAGGGTGGGACCCACCTGAAGTTCAGACCAGGAAAATATCAAAGCACATCTGTCTCTCTTTGTTTGTGCAGAGGAACTTCAGTTCATTGAATGATGAAAAGGATGAAGATCTGAAGGAGCTGGTTTTCCAAAATGAATTGAAGGTGGGTGTGTTGGGTGGACTCAGCTGTGCTTTACATCACCCTGGGAGCTCCCTCCGTTATTCCTGGGCCAGGGCTGCTCCCTAGGCAGGGCAGAGAGGATCTATCTAGTTTAAAGACAGTTTTTGTCTCCTTTAAGCCTTGAAGGGGGATGTGTTTGCCTTAGGGACTGGTAAATGGCCTTCTGACTTTCTGATTTGTTCTCTTAGGGGTTCATGATAACTCCCTTTGGATAGTGAGAGTAGCCTGGATCGGGGGGGAACAAGCTATTTTCTAGTCAGTAAGTCAGCCAACCAACATGTATTCATTGCTTAAGCACCAAATAGGTGCTCAGCATGATGCTGCAAGAGACACAAAGAAGTCCCTGCCCTCAAGTGACTTGCAGTCTAGTTGGAAACACATTTAGAGAATGATGTGTTCCAACTATATGATCTATACAAAGAGTTTAGGGAAGGAAGAAATCATTATGGCTTGGAATTTTCTGAGAAGACTTCATGTGCTAGAGCTGGAAGACAGAGAACTTACCTTGAAGTAGCCCTTGAAGGTTTGATAGGTTTGTTAGAGACAAGTGGTAAGGCATTTGGGGTGAGGAAGGGGGAACATAAGCAGACTCTTGGAACTTGTGGAGAAGGAAGTGGTGAGAGAGGCCGTGTGGAAGCACACACTGCGAGGAAGGCTAAACTGGCTAGAAAGGGTGTTTGTGGCAGACGGTAGTGGAGGTAAGGTTAGGGCCAGTTTAGAAGGCTGGAACTTGATGCAAACAGGATTTATAGCTTCTTGAATCAGGTTGGTGACATCATAGAAGAGTATCTTGGGGAAATGTATGCAGGATGAATTGAAGGGAGTGGGGACCCTAGAAATAGGGAGACCAACCAGGGAAGAGACCTCCTGTGCCTCTGCAGATAGACCAGATGACTAAAGACTGGACCCAGAAGTGGAATGATTGGCAGGCCCTCCTGGAGCATTACAGCGTGGACATTGACAGGAGGAAGGCTGGGGTGGTCATCGACTCCAGCCTGCCACACCTGATGGCCTTGGAGGATGACGTGCTCAGCACAGGTGTTGTGCTCTATCACCTCAAGGTGAGGAGGCTGGTGTACTCCTTTTCTTCTTGCGCCACTGGCTCCAGAAGCCAAGGAGGGAAAAGTCCGGGGCAGCCGCTGTGTTTCTGTGAATTGACACAGATGTCACAGAGCTGCCTTCAGGTTTGCTCTCAGGAAACTCGTCTAGCTGACAAGTTGTGATGTTTTGCTTTTGCAAGCATATAGAGTAGAAGACTGGAAGTCAGAACAATCGTTTGTTTTTCAACTGCTGCTACTATTGTTCTTATGTAAATTACTTTTGTTTTCTGTGCCTTAATTTCCTCATTTTAAAGAATGATGCTTCTCATATTCCTTTTCTGGCTTCCTGCAGCACAGTGGTACAGTCATGGAGAGTGAAGTCCTAACCTCAAAATACTGTTAGTGCTCCTAAACTCTGCAAATGCAGGCTGCTCAGAGGCAGCTTTCAGAGACTAAAGGGGGAATTCAGAAGATTTAGAAGTTCTCTTCTCACACTTCCCCACTTCATTCAACCCCAAATCAACAAAATATGCATGTCCCACTTCTCCATCACTACATTTACCTGGGAAAGAAGGAGGGAGAGAGAAAGTAGATAAAGGAAGTTTTATTTAACGCACGGGGGAAGAGTCCAGAGGGCTGGGGTGGAGGGATAGAGGGGACAACTTGCATCTAGCTAGAAAAAAATAGATTCGAGTTAAGGCTTTCCAAATAGGACCTGGCTCACCTGGCTCTCTGTAACCTGGAGGCTAGTCCTCATTTCTAATTGAAGCAGTTTTGAGAGTTAGTGACTCTTGATAGATAGTCTTGTATCCTGTGCTAATCAAATATGTCCTACTGTGGGAGGACAGTTCCTATGGATGGCAGAACAAATGTCACATGGCCAAAATCCCTGTGCTTACTCAAAATCTAATTTCGATTCTCATAATTGTCCCCAGCTGATATTTAAAAAGAATAAAGAAAGAGTTTATGGGGGATTTGTAATGTGCTGTTATCCCTGGAGAAATTAGGCTCCTAATGCAGCAGAGCATATGGAAGTGAGATGTTAGCAAAGCTCATCTGTGTTCTTGGGATAAGCCCTTAGGGAAGTTGTCAGACTGAGCCTCTGGAACAGAAAGTTAAAAGTAGCTTATTTTCTGGCACAGTGGGCATAAATTATCTCAGTGAAAATGCCTCAGGCAGAAGTGGCTGTCTACTTTTACCATGGCAACAGATCTAAATACCAAATAGGTATATAGGTCCTTCCATTAGTCAGAACCACAAGGAGAAGTTGGGGGTCAGGAAGAGATCAGATCAATTAAAGTGGTCAATATTTGAGTAGAACTGATTTGATGGTATTAATTGGATGTGGAATGAGCAGACGAAGCTAGAAATCAAGTAGCAGAGCTTCAGATAGCAGCAGAGGGTTAAAGGACATGACTATTAGATTGAATTGTAGACACACTAGTGATGACCTCGTCTGAACGTAGGATTGCTGATTTCCATTGCTTAATACATAGTGAAGATTTTCATCCCTCCTTGGTGCATTTCCAGTGGACCTGGGTGATGAGATTTTAGTCTATTTCTAATCTTGATATTTCTGCATTTTATGTCCCCACTTTTTCCCCGTTTTGTTTAGATATTGGTTTAGGTAATAGTGTAACAGTAGTGGCCCAAGATTCTCTGTGTTTTTATTTACTTTGCTAACTTGGTTATAGACCTAGAACTAGTCTCTGGCAATATCCTGGGAGCCATTTTCTCTTTGGTCACCTTGGCAAGTTCCTTGGGCAGGAAGCAGACAGAGTGCGGGACAGGTGGAGCACAGCTTACTGATACTCTGAACTTCATCCTGATAATTGCCTTTATGCCACTAAGTCTCCCTGCATAAAGAGGCACGGGGGATAGAAAACACAGGCACCGACTCAGTCCTTGTTATCTGAGATGCCATCACTTTTTTTGCATGGTTTCTGCCCTGAAATCTAGATGTTATGATGTGCTGTGGCCTTTATCCTTTATGGAGGAATGTGCTTCATGATCACAGCTGTCTCTGAACTCAGATGAAGGGTTTTGAACTTTTTCACTTGAACTGCCCTCTGCTTCTGTTGACAGTGTCTGTGGATGCTAGCATCCACTGATGCCTGTGTTCCTCAGTGGCTGAGCAGAAAAGGCGGGACTCTGGCTATTTGTGTGTATGCAGGGAAGAGGGGCAGAGAGGGACACAGCGAGGCCATAGCCTCATTCATTTCTTCCAGGATTCTTCCTTCTCACAGGCTATTTTGGGGGACCTTCAGGGACCTCCCTGCTTTGGCCGCTGACAGTGAAGCCTAGTGGAGAACTCTCTGGCCACCCTGAAAACATTAGTCACTGGGAAGGTGGTATAGTGAGGTTGGAAAAACATGGGCTTTGGACCCAGAGAGATACGAATTCTGGTCATAGCTCCCCTATTCAGTATGTGTGTTTCTTGGGCAATTTATCCTCTGTAAGCTTCAGATTCCTCTATATAAAAAGGACATGAGCCTATAATCTCAGCACTTTGGGAGGCTGAGGCAGGAGGATCACATGAGGCTAGAAGTATGAGACCAGCCTGAATAGCATAGTGAGACCCTGGTTCTACAAAAAAAATAAAAAAATCAGCCGCGCATGGTGGCGTGCACCTGTAGTCCTAGCTACTCGGGGCTGAGATGGGAGGATCCCTTGAGCCCAGGAGTTCAAGGCTGCAGTGAGCTATGGTTGCACCACTGCACTCCAGCCTGAGCAACACAGCAAGACCCTGGTTTGCAAAAAACAGATAATACCTACATTTTGCGTTGTTCAAGGATTAAATAATGATACCTATAAAGCACTCAGCATAGTGTCTGTGACATATTGACTGGTTTCAATAAATGATAAAGACATATCTAAAATCTAGCACCTCTATTGCTGCACTGCTGCTTTCTTCAAATAGGGCTATGTGGTCTTAAGCACATTTGCCATAATCCAAGGGCCAAAAGGCCTTGTCTTCTACTAACCCAGTGATTCATGTGTACTAACTCCAATTTCCCCCTCCTCTCTTATACTCTCTTCCAGTTGTTTTTTTATTCTAGAAGTGCTTTTCTCCTATTTGCTTTACCCTTCTTAGAATCTGGTGTCTATTAAACTTCATCTGCGGACCAAGAAGGTAAAAATCCTGTGTTTCCACAAATCTTCATAAAACGCTTGTCTCTTTGAGACTTACTAGACCAAACTTGGACCACGCTTAGCCCCTTGGGGGAAAGCTATGCTTGTGTGCCCACTTCCTCAGACTAGAGAACTTTTGACTGATGGCTGTGGCTATTCCCTAACTTCAGGCTGTGGGACAAAACGGAGTCTGCCAAAACTTATTGGTCTTTGCAAGTGGCTGGCGCTGCTTTGTCATGTACTTTTTTTTTTTACCCCTGCCTTCTCTGGGACTTCCTGGGCTGCAGAGTGATTAGGAGGAGGATCAGAGCAGCTGGGGCCAAAGTAGGGAAGTGGCACAGAAGAGGCTGGGATGAGAATGGGAGGACAGTGATAACACTCGACTGTGGAGTCTCCTTCGGGGGCAAGGCTGTGTCTTTTTAGTCTCATTAAAATGGCTTTTTTTTCCCCCTTGTAGGAGGGGACGACAAAAATAGGAAGGAGTGACTCAGACCAGGAACAGGACATTGGTAAGTGACAGAGAATATGGGTCTGACACTTGGGCAAGTATTTGTGCCTGAAAGGTTTCTTCAGAGGAATCTTATACTCTGAGAGGAAGGGAATTTTTGAAGCATTATATTAAGGGTCTGCTTCTCTCACTGCTGCTAGGTTTTGGGTCTGGGGTGTGATAGGAGACCCATACAGTGGGAGGATTTCAGGTCTGGGTAGTTGCAGGTGGTGGCTCTTCCACTCCTGTTATAGTGTGAGATCTTTGAGATGTTGGATTCTGATCTCACAGGAAGAATGGAAGGGGTGTTTCCCTGGGTTGTCCCCTGACCTGAGTGACCACTGTCTCTTCTGCAGTCCTGCAGGGTCAGTGGATTGAAAGAGACCACTGCACTATCACCAGTGCCTGTGGGGTAGTCATGCTCCGGCCTGCGCGGGGGGCCCGCTGCACAGTCAATGGCAAGGAGGTCACTGCCTCCTGCCGTCTGACCCAAGGTAGGACTGTCAACAGCCCTGTTTATACCAGGTTGAGTGATGGACCAGCGCTAGTCTCATGGGCCCAGAGAGCTCAGTGAAGCAGGCTTTAAAGATGGATCACTCAGCTTCTGCACCCAGAGACCTGAAGATTTTCTAATGTGATCCTGTTCCCTTAAATGGCCCCAGTTCCAGAGCCCCAGAGTGAAGAGTGACTCTCTGAAATTTGTACCTGTGTTCATTAGCTCTGTGCCCTTGGGAAAGGCTCTGAGCCTCAGTCTCCTCATCTGTAAAATGGAGATGATAATAGGATCATTGTGAGGATTGAATGAACCTTATTCACATAAAGTTCTTAACAGTATGCTTGGCATTTCAGTAAACATCCATTTTTATTATTTCTGTCACCACTATTATTAATCTATTCACGTTCTGTTTCCTTTTGGACTGAGCTTAGATTCCTCCTCTTCCATGAAGCTTTGCCTGATTACTCTGCCTGGAACTCATCTTGCTTTTCCTTAGAGTACTAGAGCTCCTCCTGTCTATTTTATTAATTCAATATGTATCCTGTGAGATATATTATTAATAGGGCATGACTTTGTCTCACAGAACAGTGTCCTGTACATAGTATGTGTTCAAAATATGATCTGTTTATTGAATTCTCATTTGTCTCTGTGCTACAGGTGCTGTCATAACTCTGGGGAAAGCACAGAAGTTCCGATTCAACCACCCAGCAGAGGCTGCTGTCTTGCGGCGGCGAAGGCAGGTTAGCACAGTTGTGTTTTCTAGGTTGTTGCTGGCCTCCCTGTTTCTCCTTTTTAAAGGAAAAGCCTGAGCCTTAACTGATTCTGTTGGGCTGGGGGTGATGACAACAGCCTCACTGTGCTTTCTTTCTTGTTCCAGGTTGGAGAGGCTGTTGGTGGCAGTGGCTCTTTGGAATGGCTGAACTTGGATGGAGATGTCACTGCTTCCCGGCTGGGTCTCTACCCTTTGCTTTGGAAGAAAAGGTGAGAAACAGCTGCTTATACTAATGTGGAACCACTGGGTTTGCTTCTCAGTGCATTACAACATGGAGCAGGGAGGTGATTAGTATAGCAGACAAGATCTGAGTGAGGTCTGATCTGAATCAATGCGATTTGAAAATGCTGAGCTAGCTGCTGAGTTTGTAGATGGCAGGAAAGTGGTCTTGGCCCTCATTCATTTCCTCTGGTATTTCAACTTTCTTTATCACTGAAAGAGGTATATTATATGATATTCCTATGGCCACTTTCTTGTTGCAACAAGATTTAACTGTGATATATTTGCGGATATCTTTGATACTGATTCTGAACTTACCTCCCTATATCTCTCTTTGAATTCTGGCCTGCCTAGTGTGAGCTCATAGTGTATGTCAGTTAGCTTCCAGAACTTAAGACTTCCTCTGAGTTTTTAAAAGATAGTGTGTGACTGAGTATCCTTTTTTCCCCTCATAACCAAGAATCTGGACTGGTATGTAAGAGGGGCAGGAACTGTAGGAACAATATGAAAATATCTTGGGTTCTACCCTTTCATACCCTGTTCACCTGCTCTGTGACTAAGGCATTCAATCAGAGTTTGATGTGTGATTGATGATAACTACTTTTTTACTTCATAATCATACTTCATCCATTTCCTGATGGAATCCCCTTTCCACCTCTAGATGCCTTGTAGGCTGGGTACTGGGAATCCTTCTTTTCCCATTAGTCATGTAACCTCTGCCTTAGGGAGTTCCTGTAGGACTTGGTACCTGTGACGTCACTGGCATCGGGAGCTGCCACGCACCTTCTGCACAGGGTTCTTGGTAGAGTTCTGATGGCCTGTGGTTCCTTCAGAGGGATCTGGCTGCTCTTTCATCTGGCCAGCAGCATTTGATGGCAGATGAAGATGGTCTTGGGTCTGGACTTGGTAGTGAGGGATGTTGGTTACAGGAGCAGAAGTGCTCTGATTTGGGGAGCACAAACAGTGGGCAAGTCCTCACAGGAGGGCTGCTAAGGGTTGAAGGACACTACAACAGAAGTTTAATGGAGGAGGGTCCCAGTGTTGAGAGCTCTATGGGGTGAAGGGTAAGTTAGAAGAGGTGACAATAGGGTGGAGAGTATCATGGTCAAGGCAGACTCAGGACTGAAGCTGGAACTTTTGCTTTGTCAGAGTAGCCCTCCCTTTTTGTAGTGAAGTCATGAAAGGAGGTCCTGTGTTAGGTAACGTTTGTGTTGGGAAGACTCATTGAAGATCTTTTTTTCCCTCACAGTTCAGAGTTTTATAGAAAATACTGCAACTTAAAGAGCGATGGATGTGGAAGAGATACATTGCAATTGGACAAAACTGGTCCACATCCTGGCTGTACTACATAAAAGTAGTGTGACAGCCTGAACAAGAGCAAGACTCCGTTCCTACAAAAAATTGAAAAATTAGCTGAGTTTGGTGGCACACACCAGTAGTCCCAGCTACTCAGGAGTCTGAAGCAGAAGGGTAGCTTGATCCCAGGAGTTTGAGGTTGCTGTGAGCTATGATGACGCCACTGCACTCTAGCCCAGGTGATGGAGCAAGACCCTGTCTCAAAAAAAAAAAAAAAAAACCCACCAAAACTGTGTGACCTTAGGCAAGTCACTGAATCTCTGAGCCTGTTTTCTCATCACTAAAGAAAGGATATTACCATCTCTTTCCCAGGAATTCTTATGACAAGGATTGAAAGAGCAAGTGTATGTGTGCAGTGCTGACACACCCCACAGCCCCCACTGCTGGGAGGCTCTGAGGAGGAGCTGCCCAGGAAGGCTGCCTCCCTTTCTCTTTCCTGTCCTCTCTTCTCAGCCCAGCTGACCCATCTACCCCACAGTACACTGTGATCTCCTCTTGCGTTTTAAAAGTCTTGTATGGCTCTCTAGCCCCATGAGCACTGACATGACCTTTCAGAGCACCAAGAATGCGCCCTTTCATTCAGTGAGGATAGAGAAGGATTTCAGAATCAAGGCCTCTCCCACCCACTGCCTCCACTGTTCAGCTCCAGTACTAGGAACCTGTGGGCTGGGCTGGGCCTGCCCAGCTACTATAGCCAGCATCCGTGTGCCAGCCTTTGGTAGGGGTGGTGTGGTATGGTACTCAAGCCTGTGATTGGGGCCAGGCGCGGTGGCTCACACCGGAAATCCTAGCACTCTGGGAGGCCGAGGCGGGTGGATTGTTTGAGCTCAGGAGTTCGAAACCAGCCTGAGCAAGAGCGAGACCCCATCTCTACTAAAAATAGAAAGAAATTAATCGGACAACTAAAAATATATAGAAAAAATTAGCCAGGCATGGTGGCACATGCCTGTAGTCCCAGCTACTTGGGAGGCTGAGGCAGGAGGATCGCTTGAGCCCAGGAGTGTGCCACGGCACTCTAGCCTGGCCAACACAGTGAGACTCTGCCTCAAAAAAAAAAAAAAAGCCTGTAATTGGGCAAAATGACCAGGTAGAGGAACCCATAAGAGCAGAGAAAAATGCACGTTACCAGCTGGGCTCCCAGTCCGGATTTGTGGCCGTGTCCATGAGAGTCTCTCCCTCTGCTCTCGGATGGGGTTGGATCCAAAGCCTCCTCTTGTCTAGGCTTTCTTTCCCTCATTTCTTTCTCTGGAGGAGCATTCGTGGGGCCTACAAAGCTGGAGCTGACTCCAGAGCCAAGGGAAATTGGCCAGTCTGCTCTCCTTTGTTCCTTGCAGTAGTAATCTGGACCAGAGAGGAATTTGTCCTTGAATACCATTGCCTGTGTTCTTGGCATTTTCCCATTTGGAATTTTAGGGGCTTACCCTTAAGTGCCTAGAGCCTGGGAAACACTCTTGCTGTTGCTGCTGCCACCACTGTTGCCTTAGTAAGTAGACGCTGCTGCATTCTGCTGCAGAAGCTGCCAGACCTTGAGGCAGTGGAGGAGGGCTGCAAAAAGAAGAAGAGGGAGGGCGCAGTGGAGTCTTGGCAGCAGGTGACCAGGCAGCAGCTGGGGGATGCTGGAGCCACCGAAGATGAAGGGCAGTCATCTGATAGAGACAGGGGTCCCTTGGCTGGCAGGTAAATGAAGACTTGCTCTTTGTAATCTACCCAGACACGTAGCATAAGGTTGCTATTCCCTTTTTCACTTGCCTTCTGGGAATTTGACTAATGTGCTTAGCAGAGGGAGCCATTCTGTCTGACTGTGTGGCATCTTGGGTGATCACCCCAGACACCCTCTCCTTGCCGGTCCCAGCACTGCTATGAAGGAAACTCTATCATAGCTGCCACTTTCCCAGGGGAAAGGTAGAGGGACTGTTGTTCTAGGGAGAAGCAAATTGTAAATCTGAAGGTTGGGGAGACAGCCAGAGAAGGAAACTAAGTGATCTCAGGGAACTCAAAATAAAGATCCCCTCCCTGCTTGTTGCATCTGGTGGTCTGTTGGTCTTAGCTGGGTTTGTCTAGGATCCTCTGAAGGGCTCATGTTTGTAGAATTACATGAGAATTACATTCTGTGGTCAGACAAAATTTGTAGCAGTATACAGGCATGATACATATAAATAGATATACAAAATGTTTCCCATTAACTGTTTTTTCTATTTTTTTTTTTTTTTGGAATTAACTGGTTTTTTGTTCCAGTTGCTATCCCTAGCCTTCTGCCTCACGTATGAGAGGGTACCTTGCCTCTTTATGTTTCAACTGTGTGTATTTGGCCTTTTGCCACAACAATCAGTACTAATCTTCCACTGAGGACACCTGCTCAAGTATCTGGGCCCGGTCCTAGTCCTTGGACCCATTGCAGATTGAATCACCTCATAGCCTCCTTCCCAGGGAAGGGACTGTGGTTGCATCAGCTCCCACTCCCACCTTCCAATCTACCTCTTCCACCCATCCCTCTCCAGCCATCCATCTTTCACTGTCCTCCCAAGGCTGCATTTTGAAATCTTAACTTCTTCTGAGACAGAGGTGGCAAACTTTTTCTGTAGAGGGCCAGAGACAGTATTTTAGTCTTTGTGGGCCATATGGTCTTTGCTGCAACTACTCAACTTTGCCAGTGTGGCAAAGCAAGTGTGCAAAAGCAGCCTTAGACAATACATAAATGAATGGGTTTGGCTGTGTTCCAGTAAAACCTTATTTATAAAAACAGGCAGCAGACCAAATTTGACCCACAGACTCTAGTTTGTGGACATTTGCTTTATTTTTCAATTTTTTTTATTTTTACTTTTCTGTTTTTTTGTTTTTGTTTTAGAGATAGGGTCTTGCTCTATGACTCAGACTGGTGGGCAGTGGCACCATCATAGCTAATTGCACCCTCAAACTCCTGGACTCAAGTGATCCTCCCACCTTGGCCTCCCAAAACTCTAGGGATTACAAGCATGAGCTATTGTGTCACTGCGCCCGCCTGGACCTCTGATTGACACTCTCTGTGATTTCATTCTGCTACAATGCCGTAACTCTCCTAAAAAGAGTGAATCCCTTGTAGCACACTGTTCATACTGCCTGAGATCTGGTTCTAGCATCAAACCAATAAGTGAGCCTTCGAGTCATGATGTTCTGGGATTGTAGAGGGCTGAGCGCTGGATGAGGCAGGTCAGATTCTGGCTTTTTTGTTAGCCTCTAGCAGAATCCGACTCTTCCCAGCCACTTCCCTCCCGTGCCCACCCTGGAGTGCTCATGCAGTTGGCTCCTTTAGCAACCTGGATGACAGGGCTGGAGATCCCCTGCAGAAAAAATGTTGGAGGTACTTGCATAGGAGACCACGCGTGACCCCAGGGAAAGGTCAGCAAGTAGTTAGAAGCTGTCAGTTTTCAGAAGAAGCCTCTGACTCATCCGTAGTTTTACGGGAACCTGGTGGCAGAGTAAGGCATGACTAGAATCTAGAATTCTTTGTAAACTTTTTATAAAGGACAATTTTGAATACAACACAAATTATCAACTCTTGGCTAATCTTACTTCATTTTTATCCACACTTGCTTTCCCCTATTCCTCTCCATTGGGTCTCGACAAATTCATGACATATTTCACCAGTAAATGCCTCAGTGTTATCTCTGAAAGATATGGCAGAGTCTGAAACTCTTGATTCTATTCCAGGGCTTGTTCACTGAGGACAGCCCTTGAGTGGAGACCAGCTCTCCTCAGGGTCTCCTGTCGCGCACATATGTGTAGTGTGCATGTAAATTCTCTCTCCCCCTTGGGTCAGCTGCCTCTTACTGCCAGGTCACAGAGGATTTCTGTTTCAGGGAATGGAGGTGCAGTAGTCATCTCTGAAGAGGTAGGGGGGAATTTCCATTCCCATGGTGTTTCTGGAGCTTCTGCTCTATCTGGTATTTCCAGCAGATCTTTAGAAGATACCTTTTTATTGTTTTTTAAAGGACAAAACTTCTTGATTTTAATCAAAAAATAATTTTGTGTCTTTTTAAAAACAACTTTCCTGGTGATTTTCCTTAACCAAAATGAACTTGCGTTTCTGCTCAACCCACAAATCTAAGAATATGCCAGTTTAATGACAGCTCTCCCCTCCTACACTGTGACATCATGAGCTGCCTATGACACCATGCCTGTTTGTCCCAAGTTGCCAGAAGTCCAAAGCCTTCTCTACCCTGTTGAATTCAAGGGCTGTCTTGGAGGGGCTTAGACTGCCACCGGTTTGTCCTGACCTTGGTTTGCATTTCCTCTCCGGTAACCCTGGATGCTTCTGTGACAGGAGAGTGCTTGAAGAGCAATGTGACGAGGACCATCAGGCACCAAGGGATGGAGAGACGTCCCACAGGGCCCAGATTCAGCAGCAGCAGTGCTTTGTGAATGATTTGAGGGAACAAATCCTAGCAGGACAGATTAGAGCTGAGAAGGAACTGAAATTTGACCAGGCTTACATCAGCCAGCAGATTAAAGAAAGTAGGTGCCCACCATTTAAAATGTCTGCTTATCTTCTCATTTCTTCCTTTTCATGCTGCCCCAGCCTTCTGTATTCTCTCCTTTGTTTTCTTTGTGATATGATGGAACCTTTGGTATTAGGTGTTCTCTCCTGTCTTTCAGAGACAAGAGGCTCTTACAAGGGGGCTAGAAGCAAGAATAAGGAAGCTAACTTTCTTGTTGTCCCTCAGAGTGATGGACCTCCTACTCACTCCACTTGCACATTGGTCCTTGTCTTGCTGCCTGCCCTAGCATGTGCCCACTCTTGTGCTGAGGCCCCGTAGCCCTGCAGCCCTCATCCTGCCGCATCGCCCTGGCCAGCTCTTTCACACCACACAGGTCTAGGCATGGCCAGAGGTGTCTGAGTCCAGGCAGCCACAGGTAGGGAGGAGGGTGCTGACCTTCTCTCTGGGTGTTTTTGGTTCCCAGACCAGCAATGGCTGCTCAGAGAAGAGACCTGGCTGGCTAGCTTGCAGCAGCAGCAGCAAGAAGACAACCATGTAGCAGAGAAAGAAGTTGAGACATCTGTGGCACCTGATGTTTGGCTTCAGACAGACTCTGAAACTCAACCATCCCCGCTTGTCCAAAGCCAGAAGAGGGTGGTACAACTGCAGCTCCTGCGGAGACACGCTCTTCGAGCCACAGAACGGAACGTCCGGCAAAAAAATGTCTCATGCCAGCTAGAGAGAATCATCCAGAAGCAGAGATTGCTGGAAGCCCAGAAGAGACTGGAGCAGCTCAAGGCATTGTGCTGGCTGCAGGATGACAGCACCCAGAAGTCCCCATACCGGGTTCCCAGCCCTGATGCTACAGTTCCAGGGCCTCAACATAGAGGCAGATCGACAAATTGCAGTTCTTTGAGCCTCCGAAGGCTTTGCAGCCAGCACTCACCCCAGCTACACAGGTACAGCCCGTGGTTGTCACCTGGAAGCACTTGGCTAAAGTGTATAACATTGTTGCCTAGGCAATGTTCTTTACTCCCCAGTTTCTTCCATCTGTGAAATGAGACACGGGTGCTCCTCTCTCCCTCATCACTTTCCCCTCCTCTGGCACTCCTCTTCCTTCTCTGTATATCTTTTCAGACTCAGTCTTCTCCCTTATTCCTCACCCTCAGAGTAGTGATTCTGGCCTCTTTGATGCTGTCTTCTGAGCAAGGCTCTCAGCTTTATTTGTCATCTGCTCGTTAGACCTGGACTACCCATATATATTCCTTGTGTGTCCTGCGTATCCCACTTCCGTCTCCTCCTGCATCTAACCAGACTTCTTCATTCCCACACTGCCTTCCGCTCCCTCCCTCCTTGCCCTGCACTTTAAGTCAGCGTCCTGGCCCCACCTCCGACATGGTGAGCGAGTACATCTTTTTGACTCCCAGGTTCACGTCAGGATCGTCCTTATTTTTTTTCTCCATCACTCCTTACATGCAATAAAGGGGGGGAGGATATGTTATCTCCCAAACTCCTTGGACTAGAAGCCTGTATCTTAGACCTTTTTATATCCTCAGGGCCTCTGCAGGAGGTTCACAACTGATGTCTGTTGGCATTGTTTGCTCACCTCTTTGGTCTTCAGAGTACTAGGTGGGCTTTTTAAAGCCATTTTGTTGTGAAAAAATTTTAAACATACACAAGGGTGAGAGAATAGAATAGTACACTTATCACCCATTCAGCAATTATCAGGATTTACTACACTTGCTGTGTCTCCCCATCTTCCTGCTTTCTGATGTATTTTAAAGCAACTCTTAGACATCATGTCATTTTAATTCTACATTTTTAAGTATATACGTCTTAAAAATATGAATTTTCCTTATTAGCACAATGTTAATTTGTAGTTTGTCACAACTACCAAAATTAAGGTTACTTGATATAATCTAAAACCTAGGCCACATTCAAATTTCTCTAGTTGGGCCGGGTGCAGTGGCTCATGCCTGTAATCCTAGCACTTTGGGAGGCTGAAATGGGAGGATTGCTTGAGGTCAGGAGTTCGAGCCCAGCCTGAGCAACAGAGTGAGACCCCATCTCTTAAAAAACAAAAAATCAGCTGAGTGTAGTAGTGCATGTCTGTTATTCCCAGCTACTCAGGAGGATCGCTTGAGCCCAGGAGTTTGAGGTCATAGTGAGCCCACTGCGCTCTAGCCTGGTCAAGACAGCAAGACCTTATCTCCAAAAAAAAAAAAAAAAAATCTCTAATTGCCTCAAAAAATCTCTATTTATAGTTGGTTTTTCAAATCAGGATCCAAGATTTACACACTGCATGCGATACGCCTTTTAGGTTTCTTTTAATCATTCTTTTTGTTTTATTTTTATTTCTTTGTATTATTGAATATGAATATTAAAGTAAATCAGTTCTGTAGAATGTACCACTTTATAGAGTTATCTTTAGATTCCTCATAATATCATTTAAGTTGCTCCTCCATTCTCATATCACCTATCAACTGGAAAATTTCCCTAGAAGTATGATTAGATTCAGTTCAACGTTTTTATAATATAAAGAAATTGAGGGTTGGGTGTGGTGGCTCACACCTATAATCCTAGCACTCTGGGAGGCCTGAGAAGGGAGGATCGCTTGAAGTCAGGAGTTTGAGATCAGCCTGAGCAAGAGCGAAGACCCCATCTCTACAAAAAGTAGAAAAATTAGCCGAATGTGGTAGCACAAGCTTGTAGTCCTAGCTACTAGGGAGACTGAGGCAGGAGGATTGCTTGAGCCCAAGAGTTTGAGGCTACAGTGAGCTGTAATGACACCACTGCACTCTAGAATGAGACCCTGTCTCAAAATAAAAAAAAAACAAAAAAATTGAGGAATAGGGTGTACCTGGGGCCTCTCAGAGAGCCAAGATTATAGTCCACAGTTACCTATTGTACCTATAGAGCTTTTCTCTGGCTTTGCGGTCTATAAGAGACAGTAACACGGGCCTGGTTTCTAATGTCTTTCAGAGCAAACTAAGTGGAAATTTATATTCCTTCGGTCAGCAGGAAGTAAGGGACCTCTTACTTCTTCTGAGGTGGCTTTCCTTGTCTCCACAGTGTTTTCCTGAATTTGGATCCCTCCACCATGTCACCACCTGTACCTGACCCCACTCACCAAATATCAGACAAAACACCATCGGAGGAGTATTTGCCACGGGCTGCTTCTTACCCTCCAAGGACAGGGCGTCTCTGCAAGAATGGCCTCCATTCCTCAGGCCCAGGGAAGCCCTGTACAGCCAGAGGAGCCTTGGCCAGTAGGGGAGCCTCAGCTCCAGACACGTGCCTCACTGTGAGCCCCGAGTCTGTTGGTATCCAGGAAATGTATCGAGTGGGTAAGCAGCCCCAGTGGATGGTGTCCCAGAGCTTAGCGTCTTGGAGCCAATCAGCTAACAAGCTAAAGCCAAGGGATGAGCCAAAGACCCTCACCCCTACCACCCAGATCAGAAGGGCTAAGGGACTAGCAGACCCTGGCCACATACAAGCTGGGTGGCGAGAAGAAGGGAACCTTGAGACCCACAGGGCTTCTAAGAGAGCCACTTGCAGTTCTCTATATCCTCAAGGACCCAAGCAGGCAGCCGTGCATGGAAAGGCAGCCAAGACTTTTCGGGCAGAATACAAACCACCTTCTCCAAGCAAGGCATCAAAAAGGCATCAGAGGGTATTGGCAGCTAGGGTCAGAGACATTGCCCAAAAGTCCTCTCATTTGTCTCATGGCAGTCCTTTGAAGAGACAACACAATGACGGGGACCTAGACAGCATGGCCCCCCTCAGAGATTCCAGCCCAGTAGTATTCCATGCAAGGGAAAAAGACAATGATTTATCTGATACAGATAGCAATTACTCAGAGGATTCTCTCTCCTGTGTCTATGCCAAAGCCCTGAACGAGCCACTGAAGCCAGAGGACTCCCAGGGGAAGAAGTGGAATCTCCCAGAGCCAGAGAACTCTGAAAGTGACAACAGCCAAATCTCTGAGGACTCACTGGCTGAAAAGGAGTACCAAAGCCCAAAAGATAGCCCAGGGGGCAGTCATCCCACCAACTATGGCCAACCCAGGACCAGAGCTAGAACCTCTGTGAGGGGCTTCACTGTGCCCTCAGACAGTGTTCTACTTGCTCAAGCTCACAGGAGCTTTTCCATGGATAGCTTGATTGATGCTGGGGGGGAACTGGGGGAAGACCAGCAGGAAGAGCCTTTCCTTGGTTCAGCTGGTGAGATACCCACAGAGACTTTTTGGCACCCGCAGAACTTCAATCTGCCCATAGTGGACCAGGAGGCAATGCACAGGCTTGATGCCGTCGACCACAGGGCAGGAGCTAGGCTGGATGCCATCCTGCCAATGAGCAGCTCATTTCATCTTGATCCCCAGTTCCAGCCCCATTATGAGCTATCTGAGTCAGAGGTGGAGGCAAGCTGCTCTGAACGAGCCAACTCTCCCCAAGACATGCAGCTTTCAAGAGACAGCCCATTGATGTCCATGGATTCCTGGTTTTCCTGCGACTCCAAGATCAACCCCAGCAGCCCCCCAGGAATAGTGGGTTCTTTATATCCAAGTCCTGATATGCAGGAATTTCAGTCCTGTGATGAGGAGAGGACTGGATACTGGCTAAATATTGAAGAACTAGAGCCATCAGGTGTACAAACAGTCCTGTCATATAGCTCCAAACTGCTCCAAGGCAGTACTGAGCTACCCTGCAGTGCAAGAGATGAGGACACAACCTCTGCTTCTGGTACATCCAAGCTGTCACTCTGGGGAACTCAGAGTCTTCTTCAACCAGGAGCTGATGGCTCCTCTCAGGGCAGAGGTATCCCTGACACAGCCCAGCAGGGCAGCTCTGAAGTATCCCACAATTCTAGTGTGTCAGGTGTGCCAGCTGCTTCTGCCGCCACATTCACTCATGTAGGCAGCACCCAGGAAAGGGATTGGGCTGCCCTTCAGCAAAAGTATCTTCTTGAACTCTCTCATCCTGGTTTGGAGGCCATAGAAGAGCCCAGGCCAGCTTTCCTCTGCCTTGAGGAGGACTCTGGTTCCCTGACCCAAGCTTCTGGCAAAGGAGGAGATACTATATTGCCAACTGGTCCTAGGGTATCTGGCAGTCTGGATTTTAATAACTTTCCAATCTATCTATCCAAAATCAGGCGTGTGAGAGCAGAGAAAGAACAGGACAGTTTGAGTGCCAAGTTAGAAGGTACTTCAGATTTCTTTAGCACTAGTGACAAAGAGGTGAGTTATAATGAAACTTATTCAGCAGACTTAGAATCATTGGCTTCTGGATCTATGAATGCACAGGTCTTTTCAGAAGAGAACAAAATACCAAATTCCATGATAGAATCTGGTGAAGTCAAACAGAACAACTTGCAAGAGTGCTTTCAGGGTAGCAGGAAACCTGGACTTATGACTTCCTCTGATGAGTATTTTTTCCAGAAGAGCGCTTGTCACAGTACTGTCACCATAGCCACCAAAGCAGATCATCCACCTCAAGGCTGGGCTCCTCTCAGGAAAAATAGTGTAATCCAACCAAGGCAATTAAGTCCCAACAGCCACTGTCCCCTACAGGAAGAAAAGGCAGATTGCCAGGAGAGCGCTAAGGAAGTAGTTGAAAGACATACAAATGTTTCCTATGCCTTTCCCTCAGGTCCAGAGCTGTACCTCCACTCTGCTCCCTGGAATCCATTCCCATCTTCCCTGCAGCCACCTGCCTTAGAAACATTCTATGTGACCAGAAGCAGGGATGCCCTCACAGAAACTGCCTTAGAGATTCCGGCTTGCAGAGAAGCAAGGGTGCCTTCCCCTCCTGCTAGGGAAGCCTGGGGCTTTGGTCACCACCAAGTCTTCCAGAATGCTTATTTGAAGAATAATTTGCCAGTCCTGTCACAAAACCAGAATTCTAAGATTGCCTCATCTCAGTGGGTCACAGCAGAGAGGCCAGTTGATCTAAACACCAAGGGAGTTATCAGAGAATTAGGGAAGTGCTCTGGAAATATTAAAGAAGAAAGCCATAATTCAGTTTACTTTTTTGTTGCTCAGAACAGACCTTTTCTCCCTTCTACCAGCACAAGAATAGGTGAATTTGAAAATCAAGCTGGAATTTTGAATATAAAACATGGTCTTGAAGCACTTGAGGGAGAAGAGGCCACTTCCTCAGATAGTTTGGGGTCTGGGAAGCTTCTCTTCCTCATCTGTGAATCTGAGGCCAGCGGGGAGGAAGAGCAGGGTCAGAGTACAGTTCTAAGGCTGACCCAGGCCTGTGATGTAAAGAGACAGTTCCCTTCTGGAGCCAGGTGTGATTTCATCTGTAAAACCATCAATTTAGGCCTTGAAAAGGACATGCCAGGGGAAACTGCTGTTTCTTTGGAGTCTAGATCGGTACATCACAAAGTAAGCAGCCCAGTGATAGTGGCTGAGGATGAGAGTCCAATGTGGGAAGGGAAGAATGAAACTGGGCTGCTTGGAAAAGCTCTTCATCCCCAAGATAGCTCAGAAGAGTTTAAGTTTCCAGGGACGGAGTCTGCACATGAAAGATTCCAGTTAGTTACATGCTCTCGGGAAAGAAACCCCAGTGAATGCAAGGGCCCTGGAAAGTCACAAGAAATGTTAAACCCCAAAGAAGAACCTTCTGGAAAGAAACAGAATAAAAGGGTTAATAGTGCTGATGAAATGGCAAGGCTAATTAGGAGTGTCATGCAGCTTGAAAATGACATCTTAGAAATTGAATCCAAGCAGGATAAGCAACTTCATGCTTCCCATACACCAGAAATCAATAAGGAGTTTGTGTTCCAGGACCAGAAGGATCAGGAGAAGGCTGACCATATCCTTAGGCCAGCCAGCTCTGGAAACGGTTTGGCCTTCAAGGATCAGCCATCTTCTCCAAAACAGACAGATGATGTCATCTTTAGGGATGGTGAAGCCAGAGAAATGGAGGTTATCAGTAGCACTGGGAACTGGGTCCAGAAAATCACCCCAAACCCCTTCGTGTCAAGGGAATGTGTACAAGAGAGTAGATCTGTGAGAGGGCTCACCCACTCAGCAGAGTTAGACAGATCCGCCAGGGACGTGTGTGATTCTTTAGGGACATGTACAACTCTCAGAGAGTCCATCAACACTTCTCTTCATCCAAGGAGAGTAAAATCATTGGCTAGAGCTCTGCCGTTGCAACCCAGGCCAGAGAGGTCTTCTGAGAATGATAGCGAGTGGGTAAAGGTGTCTGTAAGCCACAAAGGGCAGCCTTGGGACTTAGGAAGTCTTGAGGAATTGGAGACTATGAAAGGTTTTCAGGAAACCCAAACTGCTGAACACATAAGTGGTTCCACGCAAGAGGAGCCAAAAGCTCAAGGCAGAGTTGAAATGGCTGTGCAAGGGGGAGGGAGCCTACAGGAGGAAGAAAATAAGATGGTCTCGACTCAGAAACTTCCTAGTCCAAGTCAGCTTTATATGGACACATTTTTCAGCCAGGAGACTGTCTGCCCATTGTTGAGCCAGACAGACCCCTCTACAACTCCTCCCCAAGACCTGGGGAATACCTTGCCCTTGAATTCTCCAAGCCTGCCAAGAAGCTGTCTTCATGAGTCTGATGCTATAGGCATCTCTTCAGCTGACTTTGTGCTGGACCCCACAATGTTGAAAATTCATAATAGCCCCTTGGTGACTGGAGTAGAGCTTCAGGACCAGAGTGGAGAGACCAGAAGCCACAGCCCTCAGGGAAACGGAGGAGGCTCTTTCGTGGCACATGCTGCTCACTGTGAGTCTGTGATATCCACGGCCCTGGGATCTCATCGTCAGTGTGGTGCACCAGAGAGCACTGAGGCCAGGATATCAGCAAGGACCAGCCCCCAAGACCAAGCAGGGGACCTCAGAATTGCCTCTATGGGCTTGAGTACCAGGGAAGGTTTTGCTTCTGAAGCTGAGGTAGCTGTACAAAAAAAAATAAGAGCCAGTTCCCTGAGGAGGATCTCTAGTCAGCTGGAAAAGAGGGTCAGCTTCTCCTTAGAAGATGATGATGACCAGGGTACGAAGGCAAGGCAGAAAGCAGAGGAGGAGGCTGAGGCCCTCAGACTTAGCAGCAGTACTTTCTTAGCACCTGTTTCCCTGCCGAGGGTACCTACTCTGGAGCCCAGGCTGTTGGAGCCCTCTGTCTACGCATCCATGTGCCTGGCTATCTTGGAGGAGATCAGACAGGCAAAAGCCCAGGGAAAGCAGCTTAATGACCTTGTGGCTGGGGGGACAGTCTTTCCTTACTGTGAAACTTTACTAGAACTTGAATGTTCTTCAAGGGCTGCTGGCAGGCCTCAGTGTACACAAATGGACCAGTCAGTGTCAGACGGGACCAGGAATGAGGGTGAAGCACAGGGGCCTCACGGGGTATCTCTATCTGCTGAACGAAGACATCTGTCAGTTGATAAGAGAAAAGTCCAGGCCACACCCCTCTCTGCAGACAGCTTTCAACCTCCACCTAACTCTGAAATTGACAGAGGGCCACAGCATCCCATGCAAGCTGTCTCCCATGCTACCTCTGCTTTGGGCAAAAGACATTGTACTGGAGAACTGAAACATTTCCTGGGAGCTTGTGAACAGGTCACATGTCACTCTAGTTCTTTTGAAATCATAGAGAAAGAAGCAACCAGAACATCTTCCTCTGCTGATCCTTTGGCCTCAGACAGTCTTCTTTCTTCAGCAGCTGTGGAGGGGGACAGGAAGGCAATATCAGAGGAAGTAGTGGCTGCCTTATCTTCTCAGGCCCCTTGTAATGATCCTGGAGTGATTCTGTGTGGGCGAAGTCAGCCAGCTGCATGGGAGACTGCAGAGGGCATGCTGCCTGGCAGTAAGGACAGCAGCCCAGAGCACCAGAAACCTAGAACTCTAGACACCACATATGGAGGAGGTTCGGGTAACTTCTTAGAGACTGCACAGGGAGAAGAAAGAGCCCAACTTAAAAGTCAGTCTGTGATCTGTGATGCTCAGAATTCCCCAAGTCTCTCTTCTAAGGAAGACCATGTTCAAAGCTTTGAGGCTTCCATTGGTTTAGAAGAAGGGAGGGCAAGTCCCAAACAAGGGACTGTTCTGCCTGGAACCATGAGAAGGGTTGAACTGGGAGCTCCCGCCCAGCAGCATGTGAAGTGGAAAGGAAGTATTGTGTCTGGGCAGACAGAAGCCTGCGGGGCTGACAGCAAACATCCCAGGCCAACTTCATTTCCGGATCAAAGACCTAGCCCAGATCCTGGGGGAGTTAGGGAAGAAGCTCTGTGCAGATGCCGAAGGGAAACTTTAGATTGCCCTGTCTTCTCAGGAAGCATTGAAGGCAGTCGGACTCTCAGCCCATCTAGAGGGAAAGAAGAGAGCAGAATTCCTTGCTGCCAGTCGTGCAATTCTCAACATGTTGCTACTCATGCTTGTTCCTCCCATTCCTCCACTTTACTGTGTTGTGGAGATAGTGACCTGGGGAAGGAGACTTTCAAGACTGCCCCACATACTGTCCACCCAGCCTGTGTAGTAGCTTCCACAGCCTGTGAAATGGATGAGAGAAGAGAGAGCTCTTCCAGGGAACCTGACATGCTCTTGGCACATGACCTTGAGCCCCAAGACATGAATATGGAATTTAGGCCAACAGAGAGCAGCACTCTTGAGCCTTCCTCTATGGCTGCTGTCCTATTTCCAGCTCAAGGCTGCAACTCCCATTCTGCCCCTGATGTGAAGACAGGTTTCCTCAGCCACCCAGCTGCTGACAGAAGCTCAAGTTCAGTAGGGGTTCCTGAAAAAAAGGTTACTGAGAAGAAAGCCAGCACAGAACTTGAGGTTGCCCCTTTCCCTGCAGGCACGTACTCTGAGCCACTGAGGAAGTTTCAGGACAGCTCTGTAGGTTGCCAGAATGCACAGGTGTCTCAAACAAAGGGAGAACCACTTGCAACAACTCGGGAACCACACACCCTGAATTTAAGTGAAAGGTCTGCTGAGAGTGGGTCAGTGATAGAGTCACAGCATGGATGTCTCGAAAATACCATCAGATGCCTGTCAGAAAACCCACAGATTGCCATGGAGTCCAGGGATCACAATTGCTTGGATCCCCAAGCCAAGTTTGTAGCAAGGTTAAAACACACCTGTAGCCCCCAGGGTGACAGTCCCTGGGAGGAGGAAGAGCAGCAGAGAGACCAGGATTCAGGTGGTGGTGAAGACCCTGCCCAGGGCAGGAATACCCCACCTTCCAAGGAAGGTGACTTGGATGGCCGTCAGATTATGAATGCTGGCAAAGAGGAAGTGGCTGTGGCCAAGCCTTTCTCACTGGGCTTCGAAGACCCAGCTGCTGTGCCCTTGGGGCAAAGGGAAGCACCACAGCCTGCCGCCCAGAGGCATGGCCAGCCCCGCCACAGGTGCTCACGTCCTGTGATCGCAGTCTTCTCTGGCCCTGAACACTCCAAATCCTCCCCCAGACCACAGTTCTCTGTGGTCAGCTCTTCTCGATCTCTTCAAGAGCTGAACTTGAGTGTGAAGCCTCCTTCCCCTGCAGATGAGGACACGCAGGGGCCTAACAGATTGTGGAACCCATACCTCAGGGGCTTTTCCTCGGGAAAGTCAGTGCTGAGAACATCTCTGAAGGCTGAGGACTGCCATGAGAAAGCCTCATCTAACTTGGATGATGGCACTGCTGATCACAGGCCCCTAAAACCTGCCACCCCTCCTTACCCAACGTATTCTACTCTCTCGTGCATGCCAACCCCTGCTCTCGTGACCAGCTGGATGGCTGGTGCTTTGGATCAGGCGCAGCAGGGAAAGCCAGAGCACCTGGGTGTCCAGGTCAGGCCAGAGAATTGGTTCTCTCAGGTGGACAAAGGAATGTTGCACTTTGGCTCCAGCGATATCGATCCCTCCGTCCCGCCCTGGCGTCCAGAGGGACCTGCGTGTATTGGCTGGAAGCAATATGTATTTGGCAGTGCAGTTGATGTCTCCTGTAGCCAGGAACCCCAGGGCCTGATACCGTCAAATGTGGCCCTATGCTCGGGCTCCACTATGGGCAATGGCCTAGAAGACCAGAACTCCCCATTCCACTCCCACCTCAGCACCCACGCCAGTGCTCGGGACCTGACAAGCACCTCCAGCAGCATTGAGAATGCCCAAGCTTCAAATGTATGGAGTTCCTCATTTGTCTTAGGGGACCCCCATGTCCTGACCGGCCCTGAAGGAGCAGCCCCCACTTTGGGTCCTGACAAGAGACCCCGCCCCCCTGGTGGAGCAGGCTGTCTAAGGGGCGAGTCCCGCTTGGCTGAAGGAAGTGCTGCAGGTCCAGTGGATGAGGTTATGCTGCCGTATCAGTCAGAGACAGACTGCCCTGCGGAACAGGTCAGGGCGAACACATTTGAGCAGGGCACACAGACCCTGGGTTGCAGGCTCCATTGGAGCTGCACTGACATCTCTCAGCCTGAAGCCAGCGCCGCGTCAGCCCCTGATCTGGCTTCGTGGGCCAGCATGCACAGCCTGTCTCTCCACCTCTCACAGCTCCTGCACAGTACCTCAGAGCTGCTTGGGAGTCTCTCCCAGCCCGGTGTGGCCAAAAAGGAACAGAACACCAAAAGGGACACCCTTGATCAGGCCCCACAGGCCCTTATGATGGATGGCTATACTCAAACCACTGTTGATGAGGGCAGCCAGACCGACCTGGCCTCACCTTCTCTGTGCCACCAGGCCTCAGAGGCCAAACCTCAGGGAGACAATGTGATGATCTTTAAAGTGCTGAGCTCAGATATTTCAACCATGTCTCAAAAAAGGGGAGACATCCCAGGGGCATCTCAGGAGAGAGAGGCAGAGGAAACAGCATGGAAAATGGCACAGCCCCCAGATCTTCAGGAAGAATGCACTCACTGCAGGTCCCAGAGCCCTCTGACACCCTCAGCCCACTTAAGGTTTCAAAAAGACCCCCTTGGGCAGGCCCACCCTTCTGTGATCCCGCCGGTTCCTGACGCTTTCCTGCCTCCCATTTCCCAGCCAGCGGAATCCTGTTGCATGGCTGTCGGCAGCTCCAGCCTCGGCACCTCTCACTCCCCAGGGCTCTTCCCCCATACTTCAGAGTCCATCAGGGAGCCTGGAGTGCAGAAGAACCTGGGCCCCACAAGTACCTCACTGGTGGACAGGGCCTCCTCCCCAATCCTCACTCTTAGTGCCAATGCCCCAGAGTCAGGTCTCCCTCCAGGCTCTTTGACTCCCTCAGCCCCCTCAGTGCACCCTCTTGACGGTCACCGGAAACTTGACTCCAGCCCAGCTCTTCCTCCTGCCACCCTACAGCCTCTAATGGACAATTATTCCCAAACCTTTGATGAGTCAGATGGTTCCCAGAGAGCTAAGACTCTGGGTGGACGAGGTCCCTCAGAAAGAAGTTATGGGAGGCCCTTCCTTGAGTTACGCTCCCCACGCAGCCCACGACAGAGCCCAGAACTCCAGGTTGGTCTCGTAGGGCAGCTGCCTCAGCAGCGTCAGCCCAGCACTGCCATCGCGGTCCCAAGCAGACTGCTACCTCCACCGCCGCTGCGCAGGAGCCAGGTGCTGGCCGACAGCTTCGTGTCTGAAGAGGCTGTTTCCCCAGAGCATGGCCCACTGAGCAATAGGGAGCCAAGTCAATGGCAGAGCAGGACAGTGTCTCCAGTGGAGCCGCAACCTACGCTGGACTTTTCCTCTTCATGGGGAGGCCTCCGACACCTCAGCCTCTGCCCTGTCTCTGAGCTGACTGTTACTGCAAAGCTCCAGGGTTCTGCCTTGAGCCCACCTCAGGCCTGCCAACCTGAGGGGCTCCTGCGCCCCAGTTCTCAGATGTACGTGGCCCCCAAGCCCCAGCATCATGGTCTGAGGGACCTCCCAGTGCATAATAAATTTAGTAACTGGTGTGGGGTTCAGGATGGCTCTTCTGGGGACCTGGGTGTGACTGAAGAGCTGGGGGCCAGCTGTGATGTCAGCTCTGGCAGAGGCGCCCCACAACCTCCTGAAGGCCAGAGCCAGGATCCAGAGTGGTCCCAGAGGGAGCAGATCCCCCTGCAAGTTGGGGCCCAGAACCCCTCACTGAGCATGGAACTCACGGAAGCAAAACTGCACCATGGCTTCGGGGAGGCAGATGCCCTGCTGCAGGTGCTGCAGAATGGGACGGGGGAGGCACTCGCTCCCGTTGAACCTGTGCGGTCCACCTGGGAGGAGATCTGTGCTCGGTAAGGGCCGCCAGCCTGGAGTTGGGAGGGAAAAGGGTGGGCTGAGAGGAAAGAACCTGAGCGGACTAACAGCTTCCTGTTCCCTCAGCCTTTGTTTGTCTCTGGGATCTTCCAGGGGTCAGAGGTAGAACTTGAGGTGAAGGGTATTTGGGGCCAGCCTCAGTGAATGAATCATGTTTTGTCTCAGGCAAAAAACAACCATTGAGACCCTTAGGAGAGAGCGGGCTGAGCGACTTCAGAACTTCCGCCGGACACGAAGCCTAAGCCCCCAGAAACAACTGAGCCTCCTGCCCAACAGAGATCTCCCCAGCCGGGACCTTGACTTGCCCAGCAGGCGCAGAGAATACCTGCAGCAACTGAGGAAGGATGTCGTGGAGACCACCAGGTAAGGGTGGACTCAGAACCCTGCAGGGAGCAGGCTCTGTGGTGGGCTGGGGATTGTGGGGAGCAGGGACTGGAGTGTTACCACCCTGGGGAGTCCTCCATGTCTGTGGATGAGTGGAGGTGGGTGTGGGAGACTGGGACAAATGGAAAAAACGATGCAGGAGGGAGTAGGGTGAGAGAGGGCTGGACAGAAAGGAGTCCTGGGAAAGGATGGGCAGAGGGGCTCCGACACGCTGTGCGAGTCTGCAGGCCTGGGTCTCAGAACGGCCTGTTCCTCTCTGTCCAGCAACATCTCCTGAGGACATAAAATCAAACTTTAAGACCCCGGGGGTAAAGGGAGGATGGATCCTTCAAGGAGGTGGTGTTGAGCTAGCCTGGGGTGGGCCAGCCAGGACTGTCACCCACCCGTCATGTCAGAAGGTATCTTTCCATCCTGCAATCCTCCCCAGGAGCCCAGAGCCGGCATCGAGGTCTGCTCACCCCCCTTCTGACATAGAGCTGATGCTGCGGGACTACCAGCGAGCCCGCGAGGAGGCCAAGGTGGAGATTGCCCGGGCCCGGGACCGACTGCGGGAGCGGACGGAACAAGAGAAGCTGAGAATCCGCCAGCAGATCGTTTCCCAGCTGTTTAGGGTGGGCAGTGGGGCGAGCCTCTCGTTTTAGGATAGGCCTGGAGCCCGCGACAGACCTCAGACTGGATCAGCCTTCACCGTGGTTGCCTGAGTCTTGGGACATAACATTTGGAGGAGAGAGTGGGACCCCTGGTGTCAGCCCAAAGCTGAGCTCAATCCCTCTTTATGTCCTGGTCAGACCAGCTCCTGTCTCCAGGCCATGGGGCAGGAAGAGGCTTGGGCTTGTGGCGGGGATGTGGGGCAGTGTGAGGAGCGATGGCTTTGGGAAAGCGTGGGGTGTGAGGCTGAGTCGGAAGGCACCAGGGGTGGGTGGTAGGAACTGTGGAGGTGAGAAGGGCTGGTTTGGAGTGGGAGGGGTGCAGGTGGTGAGGGGGCATCAGAAGCTGGCTGATGTTGATCTGGCCTTCCCAGGAAGAAGAAAAACTACATACGCTGGCCAACTCCAGCTCCCTGTGCACCAGCTCCAATGGAAGCCTCTCGTCTGGGATGACCTCCGGCTACAATAGCAGCCCAGCCTTGCCCGGCCAGCTCCAGTCTCCAGAGAATGTGGTAAGCAGGCGACGTTGGGAACCAGCCAGGACCGCTGAGGCGAGAATCAGGGCAGGATGCTGTGCCTTTCAGAGGCTGCTGCAGACATGAGCCCTTCAAACATGCAGGATTTTGTGCTCCCCTTTAGTTCTGCCTCCCTCTGTTCATTCATTCATTCGAAAAGTGTTTGTTATGTAGGCATTATTTTAGGATATGGCAGTGAGCAAAACTGTTCTTGTTCTTAAACAGACTGTTAGAGGGATACGTGTTAAAAAGCTTGTTTTATGATTGTTTAATTATTATTGTAGTAATTTGAAGAAGGGGTGCTAAGCCAGCACAAAACAGGGGGTCTGACCTAGTCTGGAAGGTCAGAGGAGATACTCTGGAGAGAGCGCATTTATTTTATTTATTTATTTTTTTTGAGACAAAGTCTCACTGTGTTGCCTGGGCTAGAGTGCCGTGGCGTCATCCTAGCTCACAGCAACCTCAAACTCCTGGGCTCAAGCGATCCTCCTGCCTCAGCCTCCCGAGTAGCTGGGACTACAGGCATGCGCTACGCGCCACCATGCCCGGCTAATTTTTTCTATATATTTTTAGTTGTCCTATTAATTTCTTTCTATTTTTTTTTTTTTTAGTAGAGACGGGGTCTTGCTCTTGCTCAGGCTGATTTCGAACTCCTGAGCTCAAACAATCTGCCCGCCTCGGCCTCCCAGAGAGCTAGGATTACAGGCATGAGCCACCACACCTGGCCCGAGAGAGCACATTTAAACTGAGACCAGGAAGATGAGAGGTAGTTGACACGTATAGTGGTGCTTTTTTGGGAGAGATGTGGGCCCAGCAAGTCAGGCCTTGAGGAAAGGAGAGCTTGAGGAACTAAATGAAAGCGAGTGTGGCTGAAATGTAAAGAGCGAGATGGGAGAATGGCATGAGAAAGGACTAGAAAAGGCCAAACCATGTAGAATGTATTGAGAATTCTGGCCCTTTTCTAATCTATCTGATCATGTTACTTCCCCAAAGTGAAGAAGCTGCTGAAAGTGACAGAAAGCTTGTAAGTAGGGGAGTAGAATGATCGGACTGTAAGAGAAGGAGGCAAAAGCGGCTGTCGGGAGATGATCATGGCAAAGTTGAGCCACAGATGATTGCTTGGTTCGTGGCACTGCCAGTGAGCAGATGTGGATGTCATGAAGAGACAGCATCCACAGGGCTTGGTGACTCACTGGATGTGAGAGGAACAGAGAGAGGGGTGCTAGAACATACCTTTTTAACTTGAGCACTGAAGGGGTGGCGATGTCAACAATGACAAGGAACACTGGAGGGAGGACCAGGTTTTGTGGGGAAAGATCAAAAGTTTGGATTTTTGTTTACTGGATTGAAGGTGCCTGTGAGAAATCCAGGTGGGGCAGTTGAAACAGGCAGTTGATAATATAGATCTAGAGCTCAGAGGTAAGATCTGGCTGGGGATAAACATTTGAAATTCATTTTATAAACAAAACTTCATATAGTAAGGAAAATAATAATCAAACAGTAGCAAAGTACCTGCAACGTCAGGTGCATCTTTGAGTCTTCTGTTTGCCTTCCTCAGAAGCAGTCATCTGTCCTAGTTTGTATATTACGGACATGTGTCTATTAAGAATGTATGTTTTTGTAAAGCACGTGAATGGAAGTATATTGTGCTCACTTGGTCACTTGGCTTTTTTCCTTTAGGATATCATTGCGTATCAGTAAATCTAATTGATTTTAATTCCTTTAAATAACTGAAGTGTTTCTTTTTTCTCTTATTGCATGTTTTTAAGTGTAATGTTTTGTTTTGTTTTGTTTTTTGAGACAGAGTCTCACTGTGTTGCCCGGGCTAGAGTGCCGTGGCGTCATCCTAGCTCACAGCAACCTCAAACTCCT